TTTTGCTAGATGAATGAAAAAATAAGAAGTAACAACTGAAGCACAAAATGGCAATATGAGAACAATACCTTGGTGAGATTTCCCCTGATCTGTGCTATTTTGTTTTGTTTTGTGCAAAATTAAAACTTCTAAAAGTATATAAATAAAACCCTGGAGCCACTTTTGAAATGGTGCTTTAAAAAAAGAAAAAATGGTAATTTTTCAAGTAACACATATTGCAAATCAAGTGGGTGGATGGAGAGAGAAAACTGAAACTATTTAAGTAGTGTCACACTTTCTAGTTGTGACTGCAAATGTCAGTAAAGTATAAATGTCTGAAAAAGTTCTTTCAAGGAAGTTTACATTCAGTTCTACAGTCTTCAGTGGAGAAAAATAGATAAAGAAAAAAGGCCTGTGAAAGGCTGTTTGGTTCTGACTCAACTATAACAATAGCAAAGTAGCAAGAATGCAAGTAGCAATATACTTGCAATAATTACCAGATCCTGTGCTATAAACATGGCAGTGTAGGAATTCTTAATGTAAGGGGAAGCATGTGCAGCATCAGACCATGCTTGATTTGCACTATCAGATCAGTGGTAGCCAGCCTTACGTGGTTTGAGCTCTCCGGCTCCTGGAACTTGGCTATATTTATCCTGGCTGATGTAGCCTGTCAAGTGTGCCCTGCTACTGATAAAACGCTGTAGTTGACAACAGTGGAGATTCGAGGGGGAGGAGCAGAATGGGGGCTTCCACTGAGTGTTTCTTTTGGGGGTCACAAAAGCCCTGCAGTCTTGTTTCTGTTTAGCTCGGACTCTGCTTTCTAGATTCTAGATTCAACTAGGAGCTTCATCAGAAAGTGAAGATGCCGGAGCCTGCAAAAAAAGCAGGTAAGGATCATGACTAACAAACAAAAGCTGAGAACAGCTTGGAAGAGAAAATTCTGAGTAGGAAAAAGAAAAAAAGAAAAAGAAACAGGAAAAGAAAAAGAAAAGAAGATATCTTAGGAAAAAAAGAGAGAGGAAAAAGAGAAAAAAGAGATTATCTTTTATAAAAAGATGTTTTCTTATAGTGAAATCAGTAACTAGTTTGGCAACCCTCAGTCACAGAGTTGTATCCAAAGAATTTGGACAAGGAGGGAATAGAGGTTTAATACTTAATACTTTAATACTCAGTTTCCTTTCATTTATTATTTCTTCTCCCACTAACTCTTAGGCTGTGAAAAAATCTTGTTGTCTCTCTCTTGGCCAACTGGGCAGTATAAAAGTCTCCCAGTTTATTAATATTTTTGTTTACCCTGATACTTTCCAGGAAGTGTAATTGGCAAATACTGATGTTATTTGTTATGAAATCTTTGTGAAAATGAAAGCAAGTGGCACCTGGCTCAGAGGTTACTCTTTCTACTTCTTCCAACCAGTGACAGCAGAGCTCTAGGAAAAAAGGAGACACTGTACTTTAAGGAATATGTGCATATTTCCTTTCATTTACCTTCCTTCATCATCTTCTGTTGAGACAGAAGATAACTAGCTACTTTCAGAAAGTCAAGGTCAGAATAGAGTCCAGTGTAAGTCCTACCCCACTAGAAAAACATCAGAAAAAAAAATCAGATTTAGGACATTCCTAATTCAAAACTGAGAAGTAGGGAATCATTCAGAAGTTGCCCAAGTAGGTAAAAAAGAAGGAAATGTATAGGATAAGGTACAAATTATCTGTCTGTCTGAGGAGGAAAAAGATAGCCTGGGGAGCAGAGGTAGGAACAGTTCAGCTCCAGCGTGAGTAGAGAGAGATCTCAGTTGTGAAAACAAAACACTCCTAAGTCTGGGAAAAAAAAATGTCAAAAGCTGATCACTTGATAAATATGCACATAACCAATAATAGGGCTGGAAAAACATGAGCTAAATCTAGAACTCTTCTCCTTTAGAGCAAGGTACTCATTTCATTGAAATGATACTAGTATATACAGCACAACTATGACTTCAATGTACAAGATGGATGCTTTTTTAATAACACACAGTTTTCAAAATTAGCCAATAATTACTGTTAATATATATTAATGTAGGCCTTTGTACTTCACAAAGTACAAAGGCATCAGACTCATGTTATAATGGTCAGTGGGAAAATCTGTTGCGCTCACCACAACAAATGAGTTTACAGTTGTTAAGAACTTTCATTTTAGCCAGAATATATGGAATTAAGAACTTTCATTTTGGCCAGAGTATATGGAATTGGCCACTGCCAGAGGGACAGAACACAAACCTAACCTGTATCCCTCATTAAGAAATGCTAAACTCTAAAGCATGATTAATTTCAAGACTCTTTACTGTTCCCTCAGTACAGCTCTAAAATGGCAGCAGTGTCACCAGTACCTCAACTCTATCTCTTTGATATTCTTCAAGATGCAACTTCTGAAATCAGATGGAAGTAGAAGTTTAGACAAAAATAAATATATACCAGACATTATAACTATAGAAGAAACCTTGAAAATATATGCTTGTAAAGGTTCAGCAGTTGAAAAAAATAATAATCATAATCATATTCTATTCTTAAAGCCACCTGACTTTTGAGATTCATTAAAATGTCTAATGCTTGTGACTGGCAATGCTAGCAAAAAGATAAACGGCAGGTTAGGCAAAATTTGACAAGGTGATTTTCTAGGCATCGTGTCTATAAATTATCATTTTTAGCCTCTGAGGATGAGAAGCAACTTCTCTGACTGTGAAGATGCCCACCTTGACTAGCTAACAGTGAAGATAAACTTTGTTCCAGTTTACTTTTCCAGAGGAAAGAAAGCTAACAGGTGTCTAACATCACCACTCCTCCGCAGTTCTTGTGAACAAAGCAGTCCAAACTCTGTGATTATCACAGCAGGGGAGGAAAAGCTCTTATTACCCACTCTGACTGGGACAGAAACAGTCACATGCCTCATAACTTCTTGGGAGGATTTTCTCTTTCTCCCAAGAGACATTAATCCCTTTGGTTTTCTATTTCATGTTGTTTATACAGTTCAAGACGGGATAATATCAAGCATAATCTCAAGAGGGCTGGATAAGCACCTAACATTTCATACTTGGACAAGTCATTTTTTCTGTCTTAAGTGAGACTACTGAAGAAACCTAAGAGATCTTTAGCCTTTATTACTGAAATTAGGGCTTCTCACACACAGGTAAGGGAAAATGCTTCACACCAGAGAATGATCAAGGATATTCTGGCTATGTTTTGCTCTTCTAATAAGCCTTTCAACATGCATAAACAGATAAATAAACTAAAAAAAGTGAAGTGGACTTCCCAAGTGATGTTCTTTAACTTCACTAGTCTAGCTGAAACACTTCAGGATGAGGCTCAGTCCCACTTCTTTATGCAACACCAAAAGAAACGGTGGCACTTTCCTGCAATTTGACATATTCCTCTAGAGCAATAGCATTCATCTGTCAGAACAAACTATCAAATACTGAAAAACATTACTTTTTGCAGAGTTCCACTGCAGAAGCATTATGTTCCTTTCTCTATGTCTTTAACATTTCATAGTTGATCTCTGTTCAAATGCTGGCCTTTTGGAAAGTTTAGGTCTTTTCATTGTTGTGAAAACTTACAAAGGTTAAAAAAAAAAACAAAAAACAAACCATTTCCCTAACATGATGTTGTGACAATAAAAGGAAAAAGGTAGTAAATAAATTGAAGTTATTGGGAAATGTGTGCACTACTAAATCAGAAGGAAAAGAATTGCGGCATTACTCACCCTCTCTGAAAATGAATGAAGTTTCATTCACGCATTTTATAGGTTGAAGAAACCAGATTTTGAAGCTCAGATTAGGAAATTTTCTCAAAGGTCTAAAAACACCTTAGCTATAAATAAAGATAGACGTACGTCATTCCATAATAATATACAACATTGCATAATGGAGAGCTGCCTATAGAATTTTAGTTGGAACATAGCTCCTCCTCCTACATATTTAAGAACCTAGTATGCTAAAGTACTGCTCAGTGTTAAAATATTGGTCCAATAATGAACTTCTGTGTGCTACAGAAATTCAAAAATCAGTAACAATTTACATAGGACTATTTTCTTTTTTTTTTTTCTTAATTCAAGTTCAAAGCAATATTATTATTCCCATTTTACAGCAAGTGTGATGAGTGCATAGAGAGAGAGAGTGGTTAGCGAAACTATTCCTTGCCTGTTGCTCACATTACAGGAATTTACAGTCTCAGCTGCTGAAGTAGGCAAGGAATGATAAGATTGAGTAGCTCAATAGCTTTTGGATCAAGGAATGATTAAGCTTGTAATTGCAAGAAGCCACTTAGGTCCTGACTGAGGAATGCACAGCATCTTTATATAGTTCCTCCATGAGGAATTTACGAGCTCCGTTACTGAAGTCTGTTTATTCACAGTTTGGCTTTTATCTCAATGAAAGAACAAATGGTATAAAAGAAGAACTTGATGCCAAGTGTAGGCACTAAAACAAAGATACATTTTCAACATGAAGCCTTAGCAAATTAAGGAAACTCCAAAAGCTAATGCTATCTCTTAATATTCAATCAATATGTTGCCCATATAAAAATCTGGATATCAATTAAACAGAATGTAAAGTAAATTAAATCATCAACCATATATATAAGGTTCTCCTATAACATTAATGTCTTTAACAGATTTTATTTCAGAAAGGCAGAGGTATTATTTCAAAGGCTAATTCGAACACACATTTTCCTTAAGTGCTTAACTCTCCTCCATCATGAGTGATGAAAAGTTGAAGTCAGAGCTGGTCTAAAGACAAAATTTAAAAACAAAAATCACAGCAGGATGGAACTTCATCATTCTATCTAGATAAAAACATTCTTGTGAAATCCGCACTTCTTTGATTTCAGGTACTTCACATGTACTTTGAATTCAGAAATTATAAGGGAGCTTTCCCACTGCACTTGGCACTGGCAAGGCTGCACCTTGAACAGCGTGTTCAGTTTAGGTCCCTTGTTACAAGAAGGACACGGAGGCCCCGAAGAGTGTCTAGAGAGGTGCAACAAAGCTGGTGATGGGTCAGGAGCACAAGTCTTATGAGGGGCAGCTGAGGAAACTGAAACTGTTTAATTTGGAGAAGAGGAGGCTCAAGGAAGACTCTACTGTTCTCTACAACTCCTCAAAAGGAGGCTATGGTGAGAGAGGAGGGTGGACCTATTTTCCCAGTGATATGATGAAAGGTAATGGCCTCAAGCCACAGGAAGTTCAGGTTGGATATTAGGAACAGTTAATTTCCAGAAGAGTGACCAAGTATTGGGACAGGCTACTCAGGGAGGCGGTGAAGTCACTGTCCCTGGAGTTTTTTGACAAATGTGTAGATGTGGCACTTAAGGGCACAATTTAGTGGGCATGGTGGGGATGAACTAGTTCGACTAGATGATTTTAAAGGCCTTTGCCAACTTTAATGATTCTATGACATAGATAATTGTATGATGGATGTGTCCAGAGACCTCTTCAGTTGTTACAGCACTCCTAAAGGATTGCTGTCATGAGCAACTTGTAGTAGGAGCAGCATGAGGTATAAAAAGATTCCCACAAGACTATTTCAGACCACATGGAGCCTGCTTCCTATTCTACCATGAGTAGAAATTTGCTGATTAAAGAAGTTACACAAAGTTCTTCATATTATGATGCTAGTATTGTAGGAAAGTCTGGAATGTGAGAAATGAGGAGGAAGGTTAATTTCCTAAAGCAATTCCAGCTCCATACCCACCTCCCCCCCCAAACTCAAAACAATAAAACAAACCCCACACAAACATACACAGCACTTATAATTCACCTCCCTTCAACAATTCCTGGGAAAAACAGCTCTGGTAACTCATATGCATCTCTTCCCCTTATCCAGCATTGCTACATTGTTAGCATAAATGTCTCCACTCTTCATGCTGTGTGGGTTAGAATCTCATGGAAGCAGGGAAGTGAAAAAACAGGAGGCAGAGGAGTTGGCTACTAAATCATCATGTGCTCCAACCCAATAGCCGCTCAGCACATGCTAGACAGCAGTCTGGGTAAGCATGTGACAGTGCCTGAGATCTGTCAGGGCCTGACAGGCACAAGAGGTGTAGATATTCCACAACATCACATGAGAGGTGTCACAGCTACTGGATTTTCCACAGACTTGTAATGGTAGTGTTCAAGAGTGTTTTGAATAGCAAATGGATACATGAAACTTAGAGAGACAGAGCTGGGTAGAAGCCAAATGTTGAAGTGCAGGAGATTTCCAAGCAAGGAACGTGTTTTTGACAAAAGCAGGAAAAAGCAATGCTATCAGGACAAGAAGCTTTTAATTGTGACATTTTGAGTCATTCCTGATGAGTCTGCTAGATAGATGAGTCTGCTGTGATTGCATGAGGGAAAAAAATATCTGGAAGTCAGATACATTTGTTACTTAAAGAAGCAGACAGAAGGAGAGGAAACTAAGAATAGCTGATCCCTCACTTCACCTTCTGCAAAGCTGCCCATTTTCCCCCCAAAGTAGAAAAGGGTGGAATTCCCAGTACATGCTTGTTCAGCAGCTTCTCTTCTGCAACAAAGTAATTTCTTTTAAAATCTTCAGCCCTTCATCCCTACTTTTCCTTTGCATTCAATTAACAGTGGAAGTTGAAAGGGAACCTAGATGCAGATACAGAGACACACCACTTTGGGCACTGTCATTCACCGACTTTATCTGTGAAAACGTGGGTTCACAGAAATGGTTCTTCCTTTATTCTCATGGAAGTTCTTGGTACTTTCCAATTATACACTTTAATGGAAACATTCACAATCATTTTAAGCAGGAATCCAAATAAATTAGTCTTTTGGCAGGGAAAGGAAAGAAAAAAGAAGACAGGGAGAATTACTTGTAAACTTCCGCCTATTTGGATTTTCCCCATGTCAGAGATATGCTGTGGTTGTGGAGATTTCTCATTGTGAATATAGTTCTGTCCAGTGATTTTTTGTTGTTGTTGAGCTACCTAAGTGCGCATGCCTTGAAACACTGCCATTTGGAGAGCAGAACATTTGCAGGCCACATTGTTAAGTAATTAATATATTTATAGATTCTTTTGTGCTTAAATAGAAGAGTGATGATGATAGCACATGGAGAAAAAAAAGGCCAATTTGCCACCACATCTCTAGAGTCACAGGAAGAGGAGCCAGCTAGTGGTTAGCTGGAGTGTTTCAGGAGTGGGTCTCAGAACTCACTTGGCTCTGCACTGTGTGGCTGCACAGACAACTTTAATTATTATTCCAGTTCCTTACATTAGAGTTGCAGTCTACAATAGCACACACACATCCAGTCACAGTGACACACTGCGTCAAGGTACACTCTGGTGTGGCAATATACACTGAATTGCAGTATCTATCAAAGGATGTGCAATTGATAACAATCTGAGTATTATGCTAAAGCATAGAGCACTACTATCTTTATAGTACTATATTATTTTAAGAGCAATTATATCACTTGCAGGCCTGAAATCAAATAAATGGATGCAGGGATATTCCATTCCCAGGGGAAACTTCACACACATGCAGAACACAAAAGGAGCTCATCTGAGGCTGCTAAAGGCTTAGTGCAAGACAGATTTGTTTTCTCATGAGATATAGAATGAAAGAAAATAGAGGAGAAAAAAGAAAGAAAAGCATATTTTAGGACTTCACATAACAAAGAAAAGCAAAATATATTACATCCTAAATTCTGATATTATTTGCAAGTCACTTCACTTGATGCTTAAGCATCTTTAAATTCTTTGCAAAGCAAAGCCAGAAGAGTGCCTTGTATTATGACAACAGTCCAAATGGCATCAGATGAAATCTTTGCTGGTGTAACCCTACTGAGGTCAGTTAAGTTACGTAGTCTAGCATATGGTGCAGGAATGGAGATTCTGTGCAGAGGGTATTATTAGTAACATACCATTTATTCTGACTAAAGCACCTGTTTGAACATGAGTATGAACAACTTCTTTAAAAATATATCCTTCCATGCTATGTTCTCATTTTTATAAAGCCAAATCAAAAGCTTAAGGCTAACTACAACTATCGTTCTGGTGTTTAGGAAAGTTACTGTTATTGTCCAAGTAGTAGAGCTGCAGGTAATTTGCAGCAGAGGTCACAGATGTAACCAAATATGATAGAATTAATATTATATAAACGCATGGTTATAAAAGGATAAGTCAATAAAAAGATGACTAACTACACACAAGAAACATTTAATGCATGAATCAGTGTTAATTACAGATATTTTATACACTTAATCTGTATAAAATACCAGTATTTACACAGTATAAAATAACATCTTCATACTGGCATATTTAGGTATAGCAAGGGGCAATTAGCAAAAGAGAACAGAATTCATTAAGATGAAAACAAGAAAATAAAAAGTTTTGTTTCAAAATAAGGTTTAGGAAATCAAAATGAATAATTCAGGGCAAGGGAAATAGTAAAGTAAGTTACCTCATTGAAATCCAGCATTGAAGAATACACAGCTTGCTTTCAAATTCCCACCTGTTGTGCTACTTTGATTGTATATGAGACAAAACATGTTATTTGGTTTATGCATGTTCATCCCATGTATTAGTCATTTAATTATTTTTCATTATGAGCATCAGAAGTGCTCCTTAAGACAGAAGAAATATTTTCATCCGTCTTGTAATTTCATTAGAAAACTAGCTGTCATAGAGTACTACATAGGCAAGCACTTTAATACTGTACTTACTGTATTTCATATACTGAATTTGAATGCAAACAACACTTTATACTATTAAGCTGGGATAAAATTAAAAGGCCATCATTGGAACATGAACCTCTTGCCAATATATGAGACTTGATCAGTCAAAACAGAAGTACTGAAAAGGAAGCGTTAATTTATAGTGGTGTATCAGAAACACAGGTTACTACTATGCTAACTGCAGCTTTGTTAGAGGAAAGGATCTTGATTCTTTTTAACAACAGTATTAGATGAGCACTAGATCACAATTAAAAAGCGTATTCCTACTTCTAAGCAAGACTACATAAATTAACATAGAGAGCTTTATAAGTAAAAATACATATCATACCATCTTCTCACAGATAGAACACCCATGAAAAACTCAGAGCTCAGTACAGTAGAAAGTAAGAGGGACACCAAGATGAGTTTGCTATTCTTTACATTTTGTTTCATGACAATATGGAGAAGTCTCTGTCAGAAATAGAATTTAGTAAATACAGAGACAATTCCACAGCTTCTCCGTGGAAAGTGTTATAATTTATATCTTGCACGGGCAGATGGGAGAGAAAGGAGACAGCTGTTGCAGCCACAACAGCTGAGTACACCAGATACGCCACAATTGCAGAACAGATTTTAGTGAGCCCTCTCTCTTTTTTTAGTTTCTGCATTTACCAAGAAGCCGAAGACAACAGAGGTGACAGCCGGAAGCAACGCTGTGTTTGAAGCAGAGACAGAGAAAACTGGCATCAAGGTGAAATGGCAGCGAGCTGGCACAGAAATTACTGACAGTGAGAAATACACTATCAAGGCAGAAGGAAACAAGCATTCACTGACAGTCAATAACGTAGGAAAAGACGACGATGTGACATACGCTGTAATAGCTGGAACTTCCAAGGTCAAATTTGAACTGAAGGTCAAAGAACCAGGTATAGTATTTCCTAAGCAATTCTGTTTCATCAGTACTTCTAGCCTCACATTCAAAATTCATAACATTCAAACATATGTTTTACCATGTGATTTGAAGCTGCAGTAAGGTTTCTAAAATATACTCAATATTTAGCTAAGGAACACATTTCCTGTGGCTAAAACACCCATTACCAATGACAGAAGTCCACAGTTGAGATCACAGAGGAAATCTCAATGCACTTCTTTAAAATTCACCTTCAAGTGAATTCACCAAAGTGAAGCAAGTCTAACCTAATCTAAACTAAGATGCATGCATCTTAGGTCTGATATTTTATTTTTCTTAAAGATTACATTAAAATACAAAATTGTAGTAACTGGCAAAAAATTTCAAGTTATGCTGTTGCTTTAAGGCACGTATACATTCCTACAAAGTGTCTCAAAATCACTTACTAATAAAAGCTCTTATTTTTTGAGTGACTTGAGCACAATAAGTAGCATTCATACAAGGGTTGCTTTGAAAATAATGCTTCCTGTGTTATGATGTTGGCCCATGATGTCAGAGGCAGATGATGGCAGCAGCAGTTAAACCTTCCCACCAGTATTTTATTTTGTTGCTGTGCGACAGACGGCAGCAGAAGGGCAGTCTGAGAAAATGGCATCTGCCATGAAATGTGTATGAAGCAAAGGTGTGTCACTGAATTCCTCCATACAGAAAAAAACAGCACCCACTGGCATTCATCGACACTTGCTGAACATTTATGGAGACCCAACAGTAAGCGTAAGCACAGTGAGGCAGTGAGTGGTGTATTTCAGCAGTGGTCACCTCTGCTGGTGCAGACTTTTATGAGGTTGGTGTGCAGGCTCTTGTTCACTGCTGGCAAAAAACGCATAACTAACAGTGATGACTATGTTGAAAAATATTTTTGGTAGCTTAGAGTTTGCACTGTCAAACAATGTTATTGTATTCTTTGTGTCTGTTGTAGTTTTCATTGAAATAAACAGGAGGCATTACTTTCAGAGCAACGTAAGCAGTATTTATCACCTATCATTACTTTTTCTATGTGCATTAAAGCAACAGTTAGATGGGAAATGGAAAAACTTCCCCAGTCTTCCCTGGATAGATAAAGCCACTTAACTGTGAAATATTTCTAATCCCTTTCTTTTCCTCCAAAACTTTTAGTCTCCATTCAGCACTTCTAGTATTTTGCTTTCTGATATTTTCCCTTTTATTTTTGTAAAAAAAAAAAAGAAAAGAAAAAGAAAAGAAAAGAAAAAAGAAGCAGCAACTGTATCATGATGTTAGTGAGTTCTTTTGGTCAGCTGAAAAGATACAAACATTTAACAGAAGACAAGATATCCTGCTCCAACAACGGTGCATGACAGATTATAAGAAAAGGCTAATCCTAGTATGGATTAGGACAATTTAACAGTTGTCAAAGCATATAACAGCATGTTCTTGCTGGCTTTCTCACTGACAGAATAAAAAGGTACACATTATACTAGTTGTGTGGTTCTCACTATCTTTTAGATTAGTTCCAGATAGAACCTGCTACATGTAGACAGCCTCAAATAGCAGCGTTGCTGAATTTGGAGTTGGAATTGTGCTCTAAAAGATGCCCTTTATAAGCACAAATTGGTAATAGAAATATGAGGATGCCAAAATGAGAAAACTTTCCTGTATCTGTTATATGCCAATGCCTCAAAATAAGCCTTTTCTAAATAGGTACACATCTAAATTATAAGAGCATCTCCACAGTTAAGATAACTTAGTTCGTTCCAGTAAAAATTGAGGTAAAATTAGACTAGATCCAAGGGGATATTCTCTAACAAAAGTTAAAAATCACACTTCTCTCTTAAGATACAGATATGTTACAGTGTAAAAGGCATAAATTTTCTGAGAGTGGGGTTGACACACCATGGTATGTTCTCAGGTATTGTCTTGTTTTTCAGACCTTAGCTAAGATTAAATTGTAAAGAATAACTGGATTAATCATTTCAGCTTTTCATTATCAAAACTGTAGAAACTCTCATCACCTGTCCAGACACAGCCACTTCCCTTTGTTACAGAGAAGCCACTCAAATTATTCTCTGGCACAACATTGCCAAATTCCTTTGGTGGTAAAGACACTGCAAAAACAGCTGAGAAACTGCACATGGGACTTAAGTGAGGGGATAAGCAAGGCCCTTTGGAAGTTTCTTTGCTACCTAGGGGGAAAAATATTTCAGCAACTGAGTAACAATAAATTCTACTTCCCTGCCTCAGTCAAAGTTGCTTCTTCTTCAAACATTTCTGTGTTCAAATATTTCTACCTTCTCTACTTCACCAAATGAACTTGCCTGAATTTGTCTGTAAGATCGTATTTTAACTGAGGGGGCATAAATTCCTAGAGGAGCAAATGATAGAGGGAATTTTAAAATACTTTCTCCATGTTGATTGCAAATAGTTTCTAGATCTCGCAAACTACCAGATCTGCTGTGTTTAGAGCATTACATTCACTCATAGAATGAAGTGAAATCTCACGAAAAAGTAAAGTCTTCATAAAGATTATAACTGCATCACTTTTCACTACTTTTTTCTATTTTTTCTAGAACTGAGGCTAACAATAGCACTAAGCACAGCTGACAAGTTTCTGCATATGAAGAATGTAGAATTAAAAAATTCAAATATTAATTCTTTCCCAACTCAGCAAAGAGCCTTAGCATCCAGCTGCCAGTAGGCACTTTCTCCTAACAGCAAATCTTCTAAGTTCTAGAAAATTGAGAAGATTTATTCAGAAAGAAAGCATTCTCTAATTTAGGTTTACATTCATTTGCAGAAAAGAGCGAGCCAGTTGCTCCTGCTGAAGCTTCTCCTGCCCCAGCTGCCTCAGAGTTGCCTGCTCCACCGGTAGAAAGCAACCAAAACCCAGAAGGTAATAAAGAACTACTGCTGTTATTTTAAGTGTGGTACATTAACAGAAGGGAATAACTGGAACAGGAAATCCATGCAGTAAGTGAGGTACACACCAGGAGAGTGCTAGTATTAGATGACAGAGAATAAAGAATCTCAGAGACAGAAGAAACATACTGAGACATTTTGAAATGACTTAGCAAATTTATGGTATAGGTCATAACAGAAGTCGATGCAGGAAGTCCTAACTAGTAACTCTTGTGTTTGATGCAGTTCCACCCGCTGAGGCTCAACCAGAAGAGCCTGTAGACCCTATCGGGCTCTTTGTGACACGACCTCAGGATGGAGAAGTTACTGTTGGTGAGTACAAAACCTAAGGCAAGTGGTTGCAAACTGCACCTTCTGCCTGATTGTTTAGCTCTCCACTAAGGGATTACTGCAGTGATGTAAAAGACTAAACAAAATAACGTTGCTCATAATCTTATTTTATCCTACTTGCCTTACAAGGTGGAAACATCATGTTCACTGCCAAAGTTGCAGGTGAGAGCCTGCTAAAGAAACCATCAGTGAAATGGTTCAAAGGAAAGTGGATGGACCTGGCAAGCAAAGTGGGGAAACATCTCCAGCTGCGTGACAACTATGACAGAAACAACAAGGTGCAACTGATAGCATAAGATTCTTAGCCTTCTATATATTATTTTTTTATGTGGGGAAAATATAAAAAGTATCAGGAAATGTTTTAATATTGAAATACCCAAAGCTCCACACAATGTTATATTTATGCTTGCACATCTATATTTTGACCATGCAAGAGACAAGCACTACATTCACACTCTTTGGTTTACTTTATCTATGATGAATTGAGAAAATACATAGAGGACTGAAGAAGTATTCTTATGCAGAATGTTCTACTTTCAAGTAATTAATTCTGATTATATTTAAGAGAAAACAATAGATCAGACATATTTACATGTGATCTGTCATATTTCTACGCAGATTAAGCATTCAGCTTTTTATGTTGGAATTTAATTTTCTCTAGACTAATTTAAGTAGCTAAGCAATTTCTTCCACAAAAATGCCCAGGGAGACACAAGAGAAACATAGGAGAGTGAGCCATGGCGTCTCATCCCATGTGCTATATGAAGCACTACCGCCCTCTTCTGGATGCAACAGAACACAGTTGCTCACAAATAAAAGAGCCACTGATTTTGCTGAATTTTTAAATGTACTGCATACGTTTTGCATAGAGGCTATATTTGTTTAATGAAAGCTCTACTGCTGTTTCTAATGTACAAGAAGTTACCATATGTAATGACTGCGCACACCGGCGCATCAGTATAGTTTCCTAATATAACATTACATTCTCTTACAGACCCGTACCAATCATATTCTTTTTTTTCTGCTCTCACTGAATTGGGAATATGTAATTTTTATGACAGTAATGTGTTACACATTCAGGACATTCTTAATCCAAAAGGAAATGAAAATATTTAATCACTTGTCTATTTGCTTTTATGCCTTAAAACACTGTATTCTCTCTTTCTCCTTCACTATTTCATTTTCTAACTTACAAAATGTACCACTGGTCTCTGTTCTAGGTGTACATATTTGAAATGGAAGTCATAGAAGCGAATATGACTTTTGCAGGAGGGTACAGATGTGAGGTGTCTACCAAGGACAAGTTTGATAGTTCTAATTTCAACCTGATAGTCAATGGTAAGATGAACTCCTGTCACCTCCTTTCTTCCACTTTTTTTTTCTTCCTGTATATTCTTTAACAATTCCTTCTGGCACACAGCAGTTACTAGACAAGCATCTGAAGTATAGATCTGAAGAGCTTACACTTACAAAGGCCTGTAGATGATAATTAGGATGGGTGGCAGAGATATAGAGCATTAGAAGGAACACTTGGATGTCACTCTAGTCAAAACTGGAATGCTCTTAAAGACAGTACACAGCAAGGTACAAAGCAGCCCAACTGCTCTATGGCTTTTTGCTGATTTCAGGAGATTAGAACAGAGTAAGCAGTTTAATTCTATGCAATACCCTACGTGGAGTTTCTGTACATCCTTACCTATTGCCAGGAATCTACCTTTGCTTTCAGGGGGTGAATAACAACAGACAATTGTTTCCCAATAGTTCTCTCATTGAAGTTTCAAAATATTCTGTGAAGCTAGCACTGAAATTAAAATTTACCAGAAGAGGAATTAACAAACAAGGAGGAAGAGAATGTCATGTTGCAGACAACTATGAAGCATGAGACAGAATCAAGCCACATTAAACACCACACATTGAAAGCAAACAGTCACAGTTACATGCTTAAAGCTACTGCTCCAATCCTCCAGTATGACTGATGACAATTTACAATGTAAAAATTTCTGAATAAAGTAACTGAAAAGCTTTATAAATAGCACTGTATTTTTTCATTATTTTGACTTGTCTGTCTTTCCACTCTCATTTGTCGCTCTTTGTCATATCAGAGGCACCAATAAGTGGAGAAATGGATATTCGTGCTGCCTTCCGACGCACGTGAGTATGCATGGTAGAAACTTATAGAGACTGGATTATATTTCTATGCAGAATTCATTACTTTGCTAGACAAAGATTAATTAAAAGCAAAGCTGTTGTATCAACAAGCACAAAGATGGAGATGTCTATTAAAATATTTCTACTATTAAAATACTAAATAATAACTAGGAATCACCTAAATAATTTAGACTTTGTACTAGCATGGTTACATCATGCTTTTCCTAATTATGCAGTTGATAATGTCTAACATCTTATGAATTTTAATATTAACAACATCTGTTTTTATATCGTTGAGAATTTCTTCTCCCTTTGTGCAAGTTGGTTTCCACTTTAATTTTTCATGTATTTTTGCTAAGTTATTAGACCAAGAACATTCCAACAGACATCAAGTTCTCTAACATAGGGGAAAATTTAATCATGGCAACTGCTTGAAGCTTTCAATACAAGTGCTATTTTTGTATGAGATTTTACATAGGATCTTACATCCTATCACAAAGAAGTAAAAAAGGCTTGCAGAACTTATCTACGGTCAAATATAGCTATAAGTAGCTGACCAGCCTTGCAGTGATGCCTCAGAGAACATTCACTGCACAGCTGTATTAATTTCACTGCAGTGGAATTAGGCTTTCAAGAGTTTCTCTTCTTGCTAGCAGGATTAAAAGAATTATTTCAGAATCATTTGAGAGCAAGTACGTGAGCAGCTTCAAACTGCTCAGATTTTTAGCTCCCTCTTTAAGAAGGAAGCCAAATATAAACCAGAACTATTTAAATCTGAAGCTCTGTGTTTGATACCCTCACTCAGGAGCCTGGCAGGAGGGGGCAGACGGATGACTTCAGCCTTTCTCAGGTAGTCTCTGACTGTGTCAGCAGACAAATTAAAGCCTAACAATGAACTGTCTCTCTCTGATCAGGAAAAGAAAAGGATTTAAAAACAACAACAACAACACAGAACTGGATTCACTTTTGATTATAAACAATTTCCCAATAAATAACGGTTTATAGTATTTAGTGCTACAGGAGACTAGAATGTATAACAGTAAGTAGTAGAAGTGTAAGATACTGAAAACTGTAGTTTGATAGTTCAGTGAGAGGCAGATTCATCACAAAAACAGCATGTGTTTGGCAAGTAGTATCTTCACACAAACTTCAAATGATATGCATGCCTGCCCTTCTGTTCTACATCTTTTCCTCTTGACTGATCACATCCTAACCAAATTTTCTCACATAAATGTATCAACTCATATGTGTATAAGAATTTATTGTTTCCTGCCACACTCTCCATCCTAATTATCATTAAATTTTCCTCCTAACTCTTTTGGTCTTGATGTCTTCTACAGTAAATTAAAAAGTTTGAGATGAGATTTAACTCTATGCACACTAAAGCAATCATTAAAGCTGTACCTTCTAGAAAAGCTAAACATTGATTGCTGGGCTTTCCTGAAAGTCTGATTGTAATTACCATCTTGGAAGTAATAACATGACTAATTCTCCTCACACCTCTAGATTCTGATTTCCTGAGTATTTGCTCAGAAGAAGCCCTTTCAAATCTGCTGTTATATACAGAAATTTCTGTTATACCTTATGCTTGCAACCATTGAAAATCTGCTTGAAGCAGGGAACAAAGTGGCCAGAAATATACTTCCTTGCTTGAAAGTTATAACAAGAAAATTATCCTTTCTACAACTGCACCATCTTGAAAGTAATCACAGAAGTAAAAATGGAAGCTCTCTTCTCACAGCTTATTTAAAACAGCAGTGATTCAAAATAAAAATGTTTTTGAATTGTTATTTTTTCTCACCATTGTCAAGCAGCACTGAAAAACTTGGCACTCCCTTCCCTTCTATCTTTATCACCAGTAGAATGCCCATGCTTATCTGCTAAGGCCATTTTCTTACATATTTTTATATTTGTTCATGCCATATGAAGTTTCCCTTACATTCTGTTTACAGGTCTACAGACAGATTGATATTTTCTGATGTAACTAGCACTGTGTGTTATCAGAGACACTGTTATTTCTACTACCGCTTGTTCAGCTGAAAGAGTAATTTCTGCATATGTGTTAATTAAAGATCAGGTGCTGCTACAGGGGGAATCAGAACTCTGTGAGATGGCATTGCCAAATTCTTGTTCTCATAAATCAATTCATCACAGCACTATTTGTCATGATACTTCTTCCACAATTTAAAACCCAAGATGAGGTTCAAGTCAGATGACAGAATTCTTCGTCTGCTCTCCCAAGCACCAACAATGTGATACTTTTTACTTTATAACAAACTCTGGAATCATAAGGAGACTTAATAGGAAAAAAAGTTGGCATAATAGCAAAAATAATTGTCATTTTCAGCTTACAAAGACTGGTTTTGTGTAGGCCCATACTATAAACAATACCCATATTCCTGAAAATACAGCCTTCTAAAAGCACCAATGAGTCTAAAGGAAAGCTTCTATAACATCTGTAGGACAGCAAACACATTCCAGATCAATAGGACCACCCAAATAATACCTTGTACAAGTCTCTTACTCAATCAGTAAATTTCTTAAACCTGTATGAAGGTCAGTACAGACAAAACACCTAATTAAGTCATCTGCCATGTCAGAGCAAATTCAGAACTCTTTCTAAACCCTTCTACTACTCCCCTACAAAAACATATCTTCTACATCACAATACAGTTTTACAAACTGTTTCCATTTCCTTCTGAAACTAATTAAGTTTTTCTGTTATTACACAGTACTGAGGGATCTGAAGAATCTGGAGAGTTGAATTTCAGTGCCCTACTCAAAAAGAGGTGAGTAAAAATTCATTAATTTTAGAGATGTTAAATTATCAGCTTCTGCAGAATAACTCTACTAGAAGTTTTCTAAGTAGAAGTTTCCTAAGTTCAGAATCCTTGTAGCTTTTCTAAAAAGCAGCTCTGGATAGAAAAAAAGATGACAGGTAATTATGGCAGCTTCCTCAGTTACTGAGGATTTGCTGCACTCTTGCTGGGTTTACAGTAGAGAAAAAAAAAAGATCCCCACCCCCACCCCCCCCAAGAAAAGCTTGGAACTAGGGCAATTATTTGTTTCCACCAGCATTTTTTCACTTCAAAAATTAAAATTACAATACATATCTATAAGGCTGCCTTACTAAGAACTTTCTGTTCTAAGTTTTTACAATACATGGCAGGAAAGCGCCAGAAAGAAGCCTTTTTATTAGATATTTAATGTTACTATTATTATTATTACACTGTACAGCTATATAGTAAATAGGTATTGTGTGTCTAATATATAGAGAAATTCCATGTTGTATACATATTATACAACATACTTTACTATTTTGATTTTAAGTCTAATTTCATATTTTTACTTTCACTTTCTTTTGTGAACTTTCTTCTTCCCACTGTCATCCTTCTTTGGTACAACTGTCTTCACAACCTCTCTATTTATGTTTTTCTTTTTATCACCATTGTAATCTGGATGTTTTGGATTCCACTGTTGGCAACAGAGAGTAAGATTTCTACTTCTTTTGATTAAAAATGCATGGCTCACACTGAACACAGGAAACATTCGGTTTGAAACAATGCATGTGTTATTATCTTACATGTAGAATGTGACAAAAATTAGATGGTATGAAAGAAAATTATCAGCTGCCAATTTTTTGAGATAGAAATGCTTTTAAACAGTTAGTAGAAATTAATGTATTTTTCTGTCCTTTGTTTTTCACCATCACTTTCTTTTATAAGCATATGTAAATAGTGCTTTAATGTACAAATTTTCTCAATAAGCTGTTGCTTTAAATTCCCATTTTTAGAGCAATTAAAAATGAGAAGGTCCTTGTTGATCTCACATCATCTGCCTGATTACATGCTAGTGCCAACCAAATATACTCTCAAGCTTTATTACATTCATCACTCATCATTAAACGTTTATAGCGAACCTACCACTAAAGTCACTTATCCATAGATGTACAGACTTCATTACAAAATAATAATTCTTATTTCAGGTAAAGTTTCCATTGCTCATTATCATCCATTACTACGGGCATGCTTCCTTCTGATTATGGTCGCTCTTTCTTTCTGTCTCCTGAAGTTACTCTAGCTATTTGTCACAAGACTCATGTTTTGCAAATATACATAGCCAGTATAACTTTTCACAATCCATGACTTAGTGAACTCGTGAACGTGTGGTCAGTTTCTGTTCAGGTGTTTGTATCACTGTTTATGAGATGCATTCTAACTTCACAAAGAGTACAGAATCAAGCCATACAGACATCTGAAGTCAGACATCTGACTTTGGAAAGCAATAAAGACTCAATAACATTGTAGCTAGCTTATCTAAAGCAAACCCCACTTTGTGTGACCCCTGTAAAATATATCCAACTAGAAGTGCATTCTGGTTTTGCAGTAACACTACAACCAGAACCCTCAAAGGGGTCAGCTAGAAGAAGAAAGTACAACAATCGAACTTCCTATAGCAGATATTGATATCAAACTTTCTTGTTTCATCCTGAACCCCAGAGAAGTATGAGACAAAAAGTGAATTACATTTTTTTTTTGTAATTTTAAAGTAGAGAAAATACACTTTCTGAATAACTGCAGTAACCAAAACTGAGAGCTCAAACAGAGTAGTTGTACACACATCCTATATGCACAAAAAAAAAAAAAGAAAAAAAAAAGGAAAGAGAACCAGTGACCTCTTTTTTAAAAGTTTTGAATACACGGAAACCAATGTGAAAAAATTGTGTTCCTAATTTCTATTGAGCAAACACAGAACTCTAAAAAGTAGCAAATATCACCAGTATTTTCCAGCAATGTTCAATTTGATTATTTAACTATTCAATATTTGTTAGACAAAAATAATTTCTATCAGTGTTTTTGACCCTTGTGAGTTACAGGAAAGGTCAAAATTTCCTGTTTTGGTAATTTAAGCACACTGATAAATTCACTGTTCCTAGTTGTTCTTCACGGTTGCTTTAGAAGCAATTTGTGAGTCCTCCAGACTTTGCACACCACAGGCTGAAGACTGCTCCTATGTTAATTGAGAACTGAAAGGCATACAAACTTAACATGGAATGAAAGTGCTTTTCATTAGAATAGGACAGATAAAAAGGAGCTCATGCTGAGGAACTTTAAAGAGCTGCGCAGATTCAAAAGGAACTGAAGATTGTTCTTCTACCACTTCTGCTTTGTTCCTCCCTTTTTACAACTGCCCTCAATCCAGAGGTAATGAACATTCCCTCTATAATAGGAAGAGTTTCTTTTAATATTATATCTCCTATCACTGTAATTTAATTAACTGGTGTTGACATACAGATGTCATGGGCCAAGGAGAGGTCACTGGGAAGAGGAAGGGAACAGCTGTCATAGAACTATTAAATGGGAAAGTGAGCACAGACCTTGAAGGAGGTGACAGCTGACAGGGTCCATTCAGTTGACAGTAATGGGATAGGAAGGAACCATCTCTGGGATGTACAAAACTATTTTTAACCCTTCCACATATGTTTAAAACATATCAGCTGCATATTCCATTTACAGCAGATTCACTAAGCTCCATCTTAACACTCCCAAGTGCATAGTTAATGTATGAGGTGATCATCCTTGATAAGGATCCCCAAAATCAGGGAGAGTAACTTAAGGGTGGGAGAAACTCTGAGTGTCCAAGCTCTCAGTTACTTATCATACACCATTTAGTTCTTACTGACAGCGCAAGAGTACAGCCTATGTCCTTCTGGAATCAAAAAGAATGTTTTAAAAAACAAAACGGTGAGAAGGCATACTGGGATGGTGAAACCTTTACCTATAGGCAAAGAATGGATTTTATTTTTTTCTTTTTGAGAATCCAGTTCAACACTACACAAAATGATAACGTTTAACTTTTAGTACCATTTTGTTGCAAACATGCAAGTTATAAGCTTTCTCTTCTAATTACTGTAAATACTGCTATTTCCTATTTCTTTTATTTCCACTTGCATGGAACTAAGCAGTATTGCCAGGCCTAAAAATGGGATGACAAGTTAAAGCAAAAATTAAGGAGGTCTTTTCAATAGCAAGATACATTAGGCCAGGCATGTCCAACCTGCAGTTCCTCCCACTGCTTCCAGCAGCTCTTCTCCACAGAGTGGCCCCAGGGCACACACCCATTGCTCAGCAACAACCAAATCCTCGGTGCACTATTAACACTGTGTTGACTGAAACCGGGGCACGGGGAAGGGATTGCTGTGCAGCAATTTAAAATTTAAAGCATAAAATTACTCAAGTAATAGCAAACAATTGTATGCATTTTGATATACTGGCTTAAAAAAGTATTCTGAACAGCAATGAATATTCAAGCCCTGCTTTCAGGTTTGATAAGGAGTTTGAGAAGAGGTTCCAAGATCATCAAAAAAAAGAAAAAAAAAATCAGCATCAGCAAATTTTCAAATGGAATACATAGAGTTGCAATCAGATATTCAACACAAAAATGAGATCATGCCTTTTTTTTTTAAAACCAAACTTTCATAAGCACTGTTAACATAGAAAAATATCCTTTGCTTCACAACCACAACTTACTCATGTGATTGCTTTATGTCAGCATGCACATTTGTCAAGTCAGTGTGAACAACTATCAAGGATAAAGTACAGGAAGAGTAAAATTTCATCAAAAAATCTCTCACGAACACCTTGGGAGCACACTAAGAATTGCAACTGAACAAGACTGTCATATTAGTTTCACAAAAACAAGGTCAAATATCTCATTAGCTTTTTGGTTTTGTTCCTCTCCTCCTTTTTTTTCTTAATATTTACAAAAACTTACCAAAAATTAAAATTCCAAAGAGTCCAAACTTCAGATACACTATCAGTCCAGTGAGTGCTAGTGAGGACTTAATGTTCAGTGAGCGATAAACCACTCCACAGATAAAAGACTTTGCATGCCATACTTCAGCTTGCACTCAACTGAGCTGAAATCCTCTTCTGTTGTCTCCCTTCTCCTGTTCAAGAACGACAACAGTGGTGGAAATGCTAAGCACTGACTGCAGTACTTTAACGAACATAACATTCTTGTTACAAACAAGACCATTTTGGTCAGTCACAACACTGTTAAAACATTCGGTTACACTTCTGGCCTAGACTGAACACGGTCATTCTTTGCTATGTAGTCATATTTCTCATAATGTTTTTTTCGTGAAAGAAATAATCCTGCATTGGATAACAAAGATAATCCTTCCATAATCCTCCACTTTTCTCAACATTGCCTGCTGCATAAGTGGTCTGCATGCTGGGGTTTACCACTGTACGTGACTTCACTGAGTGAGTGTGCTCTGCTGCAGTGGAATCTGCTTGGTCCTGGCAACATCAGAAACAACCACCACAAGAAGTTTAGGAAAAGTAAAGAAAACGTTACTGCTTCTATCCATTCTCTGTTTATCAAGCAGTATCAGGCAACAGATCCAAGACGACAGAGCAAATTAGAGCTACTTACTTCCCTGTAAGGTCATTTGCCATCATTAGGAACAAGCAGAAGGGCTTACACTTGCAGCTTAAAACAGAGTGGAACTGTACAAACTGAGTGAGAGAATTTCACGTCACTAGGGAATAGCATTTTTCTTAAGGCTATTTCTGAGCTTTTGCACAAGCACCTTCATCTCCCTGCTGCTGAAGTACAGGCTTATTCTGCTAAAGGTGAAGATGACATTCATGGCTCTCTTGTATTAACGCATTATGCCCTCTTTCCTGCCTATGCTGCATCCTTTTCCGAACGCTTCTGTTGATCGTTCCTGAGTTCAGCAGTTTCTTGCGCAGTGCAAATCGGTAAGATAACATGGGTTACACCAATTTCTTTTTCTATTTCTGAATTTTTAAATTAAAAAACCACGATAACAGGGAAAAAAAAAAAAACCAAAAATTTCCCCAGTACCAGAGAATCTATTTTTCACTTGGTTTTGCTAAATCAAATACTAATTCTCCTGTAATCACCAGTTCTTTGGTTAAGTCATAAAATAACTATACCATTGTAAATATTGTCTCATTTGCCAGTACTCAACATTGCCTTCGCAAAAAATAATTGATATTTTAATAATCTGACTGGAAAAATCTGAACAGGAAAAATGTCCTGAAAAAATTACTTGCTTCTTATTTAAACAAACCAACCGCCTTCTTTCTAAGGCATTCTCAGGATATTGGCCTGCGTAGCCATATGTTTTGTGTTCAGTCATCACAGGGCAGTAAGTTGTCTGTGTTTCAATTACTCGCTGTTAAAGGAAACTAAAATTTTTCTGCCTTGGCTATTACACAGTAAAGGACAGAATTTGAATTTTAATCACCACAAATAAATATATTTAAGTAAAACTAACCTGCCATTCAATTTTTTTTTATTTTTGATGATAATATAGTAAATATACACTATTTATTAAGAAATAGCTTCTTTTTTTTTTTTTTTTTTGCAGAGGTGACGGAAAAAGTGATTCACAACCTGATGTTGATGTCTGGGAAATCCTGAGGAAAGCTCCTCCTTCTGAATATGAGAAAATTGCTTTTCAGTACGGTATCACAGATTTGCGTGGGATGCTGAAACGCCTCAAACGCATTAAGAAGGAAGAGAAAAAAAGTACAGGTTGGCAAACTGTATTTCTTCCAAATGCATGTGTCAGTATATTCCTGTCTGAGAGTTCTTCAGAAATCAACTGGACAGCAGCCAGATAGAAGAGCATGAGAAATATGAGTGCGACACAGTTTCCTGTTCCAACTGTTTCATGGTCTTTATATGTAAAATACTGATAACCAAAGGTCAGATCTGTTCCCAAAGCTCTTGTCTACTCTGCTCTGAAACTCTGGTTATTTTTGAACCTTCTCATTCTTGGGTTTCTTCTGCTCTGACCCTTATCTTGAATACAACCCAAAAACCGGTCAGTACCTCAGACATCAGTGATACATTTAAACAACTTAATTTCCATTGGGAAGGTTTCTTAAAAACATTTGAAGCACAATACATTTGGAATTGAGACTTTTCTAGTCTTGTCAAGTATTAACTAAGTAATTTTAAATAATTTGTCTTAAAAGTCTGAAGCAGATAAATTAAATTGCCTTTCATTAGTACTGAGAAGATTATCATCATCCTTCTACGGGCACACTTAGCTATAACTTCCCTAAGGATATGCTGAAGTACATATTTACAACTGATTTGAAATGTTCTACTTGGCTCATTTTACCTTAATAATACATGCTTTCATCCTATAGACAGTACAAGAACAGAGAAAAGGAAAGTGTAAAAATGAAAACATGGATGCAGAAAGTGAAGAAGGTGGAGAAGGTTTAGAATGACAGTAACAAAAGAAAAAGAAATTAATGTTTGCTTTCCTGACTGAGATGCAACCATAGTAGTAATATAGTTTTTTTGTTTTTTTGTTTTTTTTTTTTAAATCATTATGCATCTTAGCATTCCTCAAGAAACTGGATCCTGCTTATCAAGTGGACAAAGGGCAAAAGATTAAATTAATGGTTGAAGTTGCCAATCCAGACGCTGATGTGAAATGGCTGAAGAACGGACAGGAGATCCAAGTGAGCGGCAGGTAAACAAGAAGTACAGGAAATACAGTAAGAAATGGGCTGCAGCATGGACAAGGTGGAAAAATAAGTTATTCTTAGAAAGACATAAATAAAATAAAGAGAAATAAAATAGGGAGATGTGAAGGAATCTATATGGTACATAGACTTGGGGCAAGTTTACAGTTCTGATGGCTGTCTCTTTTCTTCCCTGTGCTCTATCTACATGTGGAATGGGATACTCACATCTACCTACCTAGCAAGTAAGTTCTCTGATTATGCTCTATTGTTTATGTATCCACTTTTGTATGATATGGGATATACTTTACTGTAGATTGTTTGTAAAACCTAATTCCAATTATTTGATGCTAGAGCAGTGACAAGAAATTTTAATGGTAGTCACATCTGCTGTATGGCTGCATTAGAAAAGCATGCAGACTAACCAGCATACCAACAACACAGGAGTTTGTATGTGTCAGTTTATTACAAAGAGTTCTCCATAATTCCCTGTGCTCATTTGTCAAATTTTTCAAATTTCTCATGTTTCCATCCACTGTGCTAGGACAGGGATACAGGGCTTCAGTCTCTATATATCTTGCCACTGACATGAGAAAAAGCGTGGAGCTTTCTTCTCCACCTGGCAAAGGAAGACACCAACTGAGTCCAGAAGAGATACTCTCTGATTACACTAACATTCTTTTTTCAGATACATTTTTGAGGCCATTGGGAATAAGAGAATATTGACCATAAACCATTGCTCTCTGGCTGACGATGCAGCCTATGAATGTGTGGTAGCTGAGGAGAAGAGCTTCACAGAATTATTTGTAAAAGGTGAGCAATGGCAGATAAAGGAAAGAGATCCCCCCTAACATTTAGCATCAAATTATTGTCAAATCCTTCTTTATTCTCAGATCTCAAATGAAATTCTAACACATGTGAGCAAGATCTGAGCACTATAAAAGCAAGTATTTTTCTTAAATAAAGACTTCCCCAGTAGCTGTATCTGAGAAAGCACACAAAAAGATTACACTAATAATTATCATTCATTCTCATTTGGAAATTATCCAATAATAGGGGTAGAAATTTACTTTAAAAATTAGATTCCATTCAAGAGAAATATGTGCCTCAAGCTTCATAAGAAGACTAAGTAGTACAGAAAACTAACATACCCAGCTGATTAATCCTGTGTTTGCATTTTGACTCACAAACCAAGTATTAAGAGGTCATCTGATTACATTGATAACATGATCCAGCACAGAGAGCATCACTTTTTATTCTGCCAGGTGTTCTTCCTGCAGACTGATTGACATTTACTTGTGGTGTTCAGTCTCTCATAACACTGTTTTAATCAAGGCTTCTTCATTTCTAGAGCCCCCAATTCTGATCACTCACCCCCTGGAGGATCAAATGGTGATGGTTGGAGAAAGAGTGGAGTTTGAGTGTGAAGTGTCTGAGGAAGGAGCTACTGTGAAATGGTAAGGGAAGAAAGAAAAACAAAAAAACAGCAACAAAAAAATCAGTAAATGAACATAAAGAAAATTCCTCCATTGCACATCATAGGATCAGCGTTTTTGGAGAAGAGCTGTAGAATAAAAAGAATAAAGTCATCCTACAACACTGATTTCAGAAAAAAAAAAAAAATAACATAGCATCATCCTACACTTCAAGCACTGAGGAGGAAATGAGAGGCCAGAAGGTTACAGAAAACAAATCAAGTGTAGACATTTTATAGTCTCTAGAATTTTTCTGTAGATACAGGATGCTGCTGATTCTACCAAGCTGTTAATTTTAAAGTTTTCTAAATGTTTGACAGCAATATCTAACTACTGTGCAGATTAATCAGATCTGTACTGTGATGAGCTCTGATCTTCTCAGTTGCAATTAGATTTTTTCACGTCAGTAAAAACTTAGAGTCTGCTGGCACAGAGAGGGAAGGTCATTGACTGATTTTAACATATTCATTGTGGTGATTCTGCAAAGCCAGACATTATGCACATGCAGCAAGTGGAATTAAGATGACAAACATTGTAGCCATAGAGTTCACTTGGCTGGACATTCCAGCTGGGGGGAAGCTGGAAGATTTGTAATGCTCGAGCAGGCACAGCAGGCAGTCCTCACATACCAGGCCTTATGCACACTGTTCTCGCTTCATTTCTCTACCAGATGAAATTCTCTTGTGCTTGTTAACAGCTTCAAGCACATGGTTATCAAATGTTCCCACAATGCCCATTACATTCCTGAAAAGCACTTTCACACATCTTCTTTCCCAAAGGAAGGAACTGAGAATTTAAATGGAGTCCAAGAATTGCTATAGCATATGCATTACATTCTTAAAACCAAAGCACAGGCACACACACACTATTGTTCAGGAACTGTTTGCAGATGCCTGGTCACAAGAGATGGGGACAACCGTATCTGTCCCTCAGAGCACAGTGCAGCTGCCACACTTTGATCCCATGCCTTTGAACAACTCCCATACATCTTGCCGAGCTGTTATCAGTGGGATGGGCATTTGGTGTGACAAAAGCAAAGGAGCAGCTGTCTGCCTGAAATGCAGCAAGTGATCAGAGAAACTCTTCAACGCATAGCAACAGAAAACAGAGCAGTTAGACATTTACACTGTACTTCACCATTTTTACTTAAGGCTCAGTCAGTGCTCTTTGGCAACAAAGACAAGAGAAAGAAATGTCGAGGAAGAACGTAAGACATGATATGGAGAAAGAACTCCAGTTTCATGTCTTGTTAGGGAAATGCTCAACAGTTTAAGCAACGTAACAGACAGTAATGAAAGGAACCTGTTATAGTTCTTGTATCCTTTAAACCCAGGAGATGAAGTCATAGGCACATGAACAAGGAAATACATGACTTGCACAGGATTTAAGAGGCTTCTAGCATTGCCATCAGACTAGGGATTAGAAAATGCATCATATGAGCCTCTTTGTAGTGAACAGGAAAGAACGTTCTCACAATCATCTGCAAAGATTTCACATTATTCTTACAAAATACTACAAAGTACTTATTTCTAAACTTCAAATGGCCTTGGAAGTAATAAAATTCTTGAAGAAAAAGATGAAATAAGGTACACAGTTTTGACTTCATTTTTCCATGGCTGAATGCTGGAGCGAAGAGCTCCAATGAAAACAATCTATAGCAAAGTTGTAATAGCAATAAATTTCGGTGACCCCACTATTACATAGTTTCTCTGTCGCAGGTATCTGCAAATAATTTATCATGATCTTTTAACCAACACTTCCACTGTTCTATAGAATCTTCCTCTTACATCTCAGTCGTCAGCTGACCTTACTGCTTCATTGCTTGTTGCCAAAAGAAGGGATGTAATCATTCCACTACTTTCAGTGCACTCCTAAATCAAACAAGAGATACAAATACTATTCTCATCCTCGGGTTTTAAGACACTGTTCAATGCAAACATTCTATTTTCATTAAAGAGATCAAGTGATCTAATTCTCTCCAAAGGGCTAAACCAGAACACTGAGATAGCTCTGATGAGCCACATGTCAAAAAACACCACTGCACTAAATCAAAAATTCATCTTTGAAACACTGACCAGTGTTCATGCCCGTTTTTGTCCCAGCAGCATGTTGAGTTTCTGGGTTACAGCCCATTCGCAGAGTTCAGCAAAGGCTTGTGCGTTACAGTATAGCACTTCCTCCAGAACTAATTGCATACACAGGACCATCAGCCCAGGAGAACATCGTGCAGGTGACCTCAGGCTCGTGCCACGCAGCAAGCAAAGGACATTATCCTAACGTAACACTATGTACTGCCTGTAACAACCACATGAAACACGTTATGTTTCCTTCTTAATATTTTTGTAGCTTTGCGATTTGGAAAGCCATGGTTTTCTGCTCCAACTGTAGGTTCCAATAAGCTGTGCTCTAAGAACAGTTAGGAGGGAATAAACTGCATATTCTGAGAAGAGGTTTCAGTAGATACGTGTATACAACAAACTGTAGGATTTGTGTGTCTGTTTAAAGCTTCAATCTGTGATTTGCTTCAGCAGACTGACACATAGATTGCATACACCTATTTAGAGATCAGGTACAGTGTTTCAATGCATCTGCACAGCAATTTTCTATCCTATGAACACATGTTAATCTGAATAGCTGGCAAAACAAACAAAAAAAAAGAGCAACAACACAATACAGAAAGCAACTTCCTGCTATAATAAAAGCATCACAAAACATTTCAATTTATGTTCTGCAGAGGTATTCAAGTACTATGAATATTTTCAAATAATGATGAGAAATATAAAAAGGTACAAAAGAAGAAAGTTGAAGAAATTCCAAGCTATTTTTTTTGGAGTTGATGTTATTTAGGATTAAGAACAGGAAAGCTTTACAAAGGCTTATGTATTTTTGTGTGACCTTGACTAAACAGCTTGAATCCTCTCTGCTTGTTTCCCTTCATGATGACTGGAAATTACAATAATTAGATTTCCTCTCAGGCTGTCCTGTGAAGCTTTATTTAGTATGTCTTAAATACACTGTAGTATCCCTGAATGGAAAGAACTATAAAAATTTTAAATATATCTTCATTTAAAATAATCCTTATTTTTTCTTCTTTTCTGGATGCCCACAGATGATTAAATTATAACAACTACAATTCACATCAGGAAAATTAAGACTAAGGCAAGTCCTGATTACCACATAGCAGAGCTTTTAAGATTGTACTTTCCCTGCTGGTAAGGTGTTTCTTCATCCCTGTATTTTCCAAAGCATTTAATATACTGTTATGTATCCATAGCATATGGATAATACCAAACAAGGAATTCCCTGTGAGTGAACTCTCTTGGAACACAAGTCAAATAACCAGTGAACACAAATGGTCATGCTAGTAAGATTCTGTTCCCTAGCAGTTCTGGTTCTAGGAGCATTTGTGAAATAGTCTCTTTTTTTGCTAACTCTAAATTTTACAAAGACTGGATTTATCTTATGACTTCCAACATTAAGCTGACTTTTACTCACCTCTTCCACCCATAGAAAAATGACTCAACACTGTTTGAGATTGCAGGGAAAAGGATGGTGTTGAGCTGACACGGGAAGAAACATTCAAATACAGATTTAAGAAAGATGGAAAAAAGCAGTATCTAATTATTAACGAGTCAACCAAGGAGGATAGCGGACACTACACGGTGAAGACAAACGGTGGGGTATCAGTTGCTGAACTAATTGTACAAGGTAAGTGCAGATAATATTACAGAAGCTGGAAAGTGAAAACGGGCTGAAGGTAACCTTCTCAAGGATAGCAGAGAGGGGTAGCAAAAGCCTTACACCATAGAAAAAAAAAAAGTATTTTAGAAGTTGTATAAGGTTTGATAATAGATCTCAGGGAGAACTCAGACCTACGTGCCAGATGTAACAGATACCCTGATACTAACAGGTGCTTAGCTACCAGTCCCATTAAAGCCCTGCATGCTGTGGATTTGCCTTCATATTTCACCTTTTCACAAACAGTCCTAGTTTTTTCTACTCAGTAAAGCCATATCAGCTACTCATTAACAGAGCTATTCTTATTTGTTGTGTGTATTGCTTATTCTCACAAAATCAGAGAAAAAGCTGGAAGTTTATCAGAGCATTGCAGATCTGACAGTGAAGGCACGTGACCAGGCAGTCTTCAAGTGTGAAGTTTCTGATGAAAACGTGAAAGGAATCTGGTTGAAAAATGGAAAGGAGGTGGTGCCAGATGAAAGGATAAAGATCTCCCATATTGGCAGGTTAGTTTTCTTTCAGAAAGAATATACAAGTTTCAGTATTACATTACAACACACAGGAATTATTATCTCAGTGGGGGTGGGAATATAAAACAAGACTTCATCCTAGCTACAACTAGAAGTTAAAACTTTTTCATGTGCAATGAACATATAGTCACTAACTTGTTTGGCATGTGTGTTGGTACATTTTGTATTTATGGTATCAGTGGTACATCAGCAGAATTCATTTTCAGTTTTCATTTAGAGATCACATTTTTCTTGCTATTGAAATCATTCAGAAAACACATTTGTAGTAACTTTGAAAATCCCAGTAGTGCTTAGACAGATGAGTATAGCTATATAGCTATGACTATAGCACTTACCCTTCAGAAAAAAACAGTGGTCTTTATATGTAAAAAAAACATTAGAACATATACAATTGCACCATTGTGTCCAAGTTTCTCAGCAGTCTAACTCTTAGGAAATGAAGAACAAGATTCATAAAATACATAAACAGTACACATTAGATAAATTCTTCCTTGGTACTCCCTTTCTGTCTTCTGTTTTGAAATTCTATTAATAAAGGAATGCAACATCAATTTTTAGCTTGTTTTTCACAGTTCATTGTAATTACAAGCTTGATCAAATGAAATAAGTCAGCAGCGATAGAACTGCTCTTCTAAGGGTAAAGGCCCAGAATAAAGATTAGAAACCACTTCCTCTATTCAGAGTAGACTCTGCATTTACTTTGAGAAGTCCACTCACAGACACTGCGCTGAGGTTGGTTTACCCAAACAAACACTGAAAGTGGAGCAGTCCACAGCCCTGGCAGCTCTTGATGTTAGGGAAAGAGGAGAACAAATGGTAATGTTTGCTTAATGTTGTCTTATAGCTTGCACCTTGTCTCTTGAGATAGCCCCATTTTTCCTGGAAAGGTAACATAAGGGAGTTACACAAATTTGTTCATGTTTCCAGGATCCATAAGCTAACTATTGAGGATGTGACACCAGGTGATGAGGCTGACTATTCCTTTATCCCTCAGGGATTTGCTTACAACCTTTCTGCCAAGCTCCAGTTTTTGGGTAAGTTATCTTAGCAGATGCAACAGGAATTCTATAGGGATACAGAGATGGAACTCACCATGGCTCTATCAGGAAGGAGTGTAGAGAATATCCTTCCTGTAAGACTATCCTACCATAAAATTGTTGCATTATATTGGTTTTCTCTATATTTTGTTATCATCAGTACATTGTTTTAAAGAGCCTGTTTTGCAGTTTATTTACATTGATCTGTAGATGTATATGCTCTCTGATAATGTAATGATTAATAATTTTTAATTACTTTTTGGATGGAGATGGTCAAAAATTCTGTTTTCTGACCTATTTTTCCTAACTCCACCTTTTTTTTTTTTTTTCCTCCTCCAGAGGTCAAGATTGATTTTGTACCAAGAGAAGGTAAGGACAACATTCACTTCTCATATGCAACTAAATATATTTTCAACAGCGAAGGAAACTGTATTTTCATTTTTGATGTAAGGCATGAGTATTTACCTCCTTCTCATACACAACACTCAAACCATATTTTTCTTTGCCTTTCCTAAAGAACCTCCCAAAATCCATCTGGACTGTCTGGGTCAATCCCCTGACACTATTGTTGTGGTGGCAGGGAACAAACTGAGATTGGATGTTCCCATATCAGGAGATCCAACGCCTACTGTCATCTGGCAGAAAGTGAACAAGGTAATACGTTCAATGTATAGGAACTGCTGAATCACAGCCTGAACCTCTTGCTGATCACCTGAAGTGAGCAATGAGTCAGCCACAGGAGCTGCCGGAAGGGGTGGAACCTGGCTCCACCTCTCCTAGACCCATTTAAGAGCTGACTACTAGTGGGGAAGGGTCTCTTCTGGAGATCCCCTCCTCTGGAATTTCATAGTGAGCTCAGGATATGGGTAAGCATTCTATCTATTCTCTTTTGGTATAATAACTCCTTAATCAAATTCTCTGGTATATTTCATAACTATAACATCTGTATATTCATTGATTATACAGTACAACAACAGTGTATTACAATAAGAATCTTTTTTTTTTTTATAGTCTGAAAAATTCTTCTACGTTTGTGATGAAAAGTATTTGGTATAATAAAAATAGAAAACACTTGCTATTTGCCTAATCAGAGGAATTGCAAAATGTCAAAGAAAAAAATTAGAATCTTGACACCAGAGTCTAAGTGAGCTTCTTTTATGGCCACCTCAGAATATCCACACCCCTTGCCATCTGTGTGCTCTTGATTTATAACTAGTACAAAAAAATGTACATAATATTCTACAGCATCATTACACTTCCCATAGGTAGCATAGAAAATAAACTGATACAGACAAAAATAATACTGCCAATTACATTCATTTCCTCAGTCTCATTTCTTCCCAATTTTGTCCCATTCTTTAAGAGAGCGGGAAATCTAGTATAGTTTAGGACTTATTTCTGCAATACAGAATTAGTACAGGCTCTAACAAAAAAAAAAGCCATTCATCTTTTTTTTTTTTTTTTTTTTTTTAAGAAACCAAGGGCAATTTTTCTGCTTCCCTCATTCACAAGTTCCTTTGATGAAATGAAGGTTTCTCTCACAAAATGATGATTGAGTATCATACAGACCTTCATGCCTTACCACTTCTAAGGCATGAAGTCCCAAAACACAAATAAAGGAAGCTGGGCTTGATATGAATGCTGTATAGCATGTGCTAACTACTCAAATTCTAAATGTACGATCTTCAGAATAAATTAGATGTATTACAGTCCTGACTGTATTTCAGACTTAAAATGTTTATACAGACTTATTATCCCACTATTACATTCTTGTCATTATAACTATTACCACAGGACATATACTGATTTATGATCAGTTAAAATTCTACTCTGGGAATGTCACGCATCTTTGTTTATGAAGCTATAGATTTGGTTTTGCTGACTTATCCTTCCTCTAAATCACTGCAGTCTGACATATCTATTTCCTTCTCTGCTTTTTCGTTTCACACATGTTGATTTCCTTCCCAGTTTGGTTTGCTCTCTCACTGTGCTCTACAATATTTCTCGCACCTTTATGTTCAAGCACCCCAGCATAGCTATGGACTCTTCTCCTGTCTTGCAGGAACAGCTTTCCTGTTCTGCTCAGAAATATTTATCTTTCTGTGGTTTCTTTGTTTATTTAGAAAGGTGAACTTCTTCAAAGCAATGAAGATTCTATGACTCCCTCAGAAAACAGCAGTGATTTAAGTACTGATAGTAAGGTAAGTTCCTTATTTATGCAGACACAGAAACATGCCTAATGCTTTCCATTTCAGTGGTCCAGTCTGAAAGAAAGCAAAATTTAAGTCAGATTTTAAAACTGGTGAAGTAAATAGCACAGCCACTCATCATTCTGCCTCATAAAGGCAATTACCAAACTCTTTGAACAAGCAAAACAGGTCTATTTTCTCTACATACAAAAAGAATTTGACATTATTACTTTTTAACTTTTTTGATAATATTCAGTAACATTAAGATTTTCACTAACTTACATACAGGCTCATTAGGCCATCCCTGGCACAAATCACACTGATTGTTCCTTTCACTTTCACTGCCCACAGCTTCTATTTGAATCTGAAGGCAGAGTTCGTGTGGAGAAGCATGAAGACCACTGTGTCTTCATCATTGAAGGAGCTGAAAAGGAGGATGAGGGAGTATACAGAGTTATAGTTAAGAATCCAGTGGGAGAAGATAAGGCTGATATCACAGTCAAAGTTATCGGTAAGTGAAAGAACACAATAACCAGAGCACAAAAGCATCTCAAGTTCACTGAAATTCTGTAGAATTTCTGTAGAACAGCCAAAGTCTCAGCTTAAGAAAAAAAGCAAAAAGGATCATAAGGGAAGGAATAGTAGCAATCCCAGAAATGGCAGAAGTGTTTTTCACAGGTAGAAGCCTGCTCTGTGAAAAGGAAAGAACAACTCCCAGTAAAAATCTGTGCTTTTGTTTTGTATTTTTTCCAGCTTCAGGTGATCCTATCATTTTTATAGATGACATTTGCTTCTAAGGAATACATTTCCTGCTAAGATGAGAAAATATATTTTTTTTTAAAACAAAAGTAATTTTGTTCTCTAAGCCACAAACAGCTAATATGGAATAAAGAGGCATACATACAAGACAGATTGATATTGTGAGTCACAGAAGAACTGGAGGAATTTTTTTTTGAATCAGTAACTTATTAAATTTGTCATAATAACTTCTTTATTAACTGTCTATATAACAAAAGGTCAGGTTATAAGCAAACTTAAATTGATATAAGAAATTCTTTGCATCTGTAGTATTAAAATTTAAGATTTGCTGCCAACATGAACACTAATCTTATTTCATCTTTTACGAATGTCTCCTGAATTAAAATGTGAGATGTGCAGACATTATACAATAAAGTTTACTCTAGACAGGAAAGGGAACCCTGGAGAAAGCCTCCCATTACAGAATTAAGAACAAATTTACTAACAGGTATGAATTACTATTTCCTGTTTTACTGTATGAGAAAAAACTGGATGTTTTCTAAAATACTCAGCTGAGTTCTGTCAGTGGTTTGTGGTAGAAAATCCAGTAAATGAGCATGATGTCAAATTGTATTTCCCTATAGATGAAATAAAGATAAGAGGCATCCTCCATCTACAAGGGATCTTACTATATACAAAGGAAGGAAATATCAATGTTGCCTGTGACTCAAATGGGTTCAGTTTGTTTCTGATTTGTAGCATCAGTACGTCAGTTGACTAAATCCCTATTAGTATACAGCTAATTACTTAAGATCTTACATTTTGCAAATGTTTACGTTTGGAAAGAAGAGGAGAGATGAATAATCAAATGGTACTTACAGGAAAACCATCCCAACCTGGAAGCATTTTGAGTGCATTCTTTTTCTTTTTTTATTTTTATTTTTATTTTTTTACCTACTGCTGTAATCTTGTAAATCCACACAGTCACCTTCAAAGCACCACAGCGATGAAAAAGTCTTATACCCCTAAAACTATTTGGAAATTCCTCAGTATGGTTGATTACTTCAGGTTTAGACTTATGATATGGGAAAAAGTTAAAATATTTGATTTGTAAACGGAAACACTAACAACTCCCATGCATTCTGACACTTCCTGCAGATGTTCCTGACCCTCCAGAAGCTCCCAAGATCAGCAACATTGGAGAAGATTACTGCACTGTGCAGTGGCAACCTCCTACATATGATGGTGGGCAACCAGTACTTGGTAAGAAGTGCTGAAATACGAAGTCCACAGCAGTCTCACCTATAATTTTTTTTTCTGCTCCTTTAAAATGATGCAGAAGGATTTCATACATTTAGTCACACTAGGAAGGTTCACTCAGATGCTCACTAATAAAGCAAAGCTTAAAACCCATCTGGAATCCAGCCCTTTGATACCAGGGTGATGGTGCCCCTACCTGTGCTGTTTGAATCATAGAAATATTTTGACAAGTTAGCCAAGTAGAAGTTGACACTAAAAGCAGCATCATTTCAATCTCAAGACTGAAATCATCAGTCAGTATAGAGGCCATTGGACTTCTTAGGAATAACAGAGTAGAGCTGTGGCTGCACTACTCACCAACTCTAGCAGTCTCAAACTCTTATGCAAAACATGTTTTTTTGTTTGTTTTTTTTTTTTTAATAAAAAAACTTAATCCTATTTCGTATACAACAACACATGATGAATCACAAACACAATCTGATCTCTTCAACAATTTTAAAACACGTACTAAAATCCAGAGGCCAAAATCATCCTGTGATGCAGCAGAAAAACTGACACAATCAAGAATATCATCAGTTCCACAGTAAGCCTCTGTAGTTCATGGTGATTTTTAGGCAAAACATACTGTGATCCTCAAAAGGAAAAGAAAACAAGGAAGAGCCTTGGTCAATCCTAGGGAAAAACACTCCTCTGAACTGCAAATGTAGCAACTTGTTAAATTAAGATCACTGTTCAATAGCTACTCAAAGAAACCTAAAAAAGCAAATTTAAAAGACAGGAAAAAAAAGATGTACATATTCTTATCTGTGTCCATATTGTTACAGATTTAGACATTCTTCTACAGTCTATACTGTCTGTATCTAACAGATACAGAAATTAACACCCTCTTTTCACTGTTACATACTTTTCATGGGAGTCTCATTTCTATATTGCTAAAGCAGTATCTATCATGCATTTTATGCCTTTGGGAACATAAATTGCCCTATCAAATATCACCAACAGAACCAGCATGGTCTTTTTCTCTTCTTTTTATCTATTTTAATTGCAATTCCATGGAATGCAAGTTCCTTGGTTCTGACAGCAAAATATACCTACTGAAAAATTAAACTGAGCTGCCAAAACTTCTCCCAGTTTTGCAGACATAGACAAAGAGAAAAAGCAAGAACGCATACGTCACAGGTTTTTTTGCTCACAGCATTTGACTTTGTTTAAAAAGCCACTGAAAAGAAGTATACCAGAAGAACTTTTAACATACAACCTGCCACCTCAAAGGAGCTTTCACCACTCATTTCACAAAATATTCCATAAACTCTCATGCTTGTCTTGCAATTTAACATTGACAGGAAAGGTTACTGATGCAGGATGTCTGTGCCTACTATGCCTATCGTTCTCCATCTCCCTTCAGGCCCTGTGAAAATCACACTTCTCAGGTATGCTAAAGGGGCATCTGCAAGTTTGATAGCCATACGCTTTGTGAACACCATGGACTGGAGCTCAATTCACAAGTCTTCACAATTTGATATATCCCTATACTATTGTAGTTGGCCAGTTACAGACATATACTCTGTAGAAATAGGTAGAAATCCACATGAAATACATATTCACACACAGTATGTATGAACTGCTATTCTAGGTATTTTCTAATTATTCACTCCATAGCTGTAAGATCAGTAGCTTTCTAAACAAAATCTGCTTAAAAGAAGTCTACATGCATCACAGCCAACCATACCACCTGCAATACAGACAAGAGAAGAAATTAAATGTAGCTAGGTATAAAGAAACAGCTGACACTGATCTTTTGGAGCAGGTCCAGAGGAGGGCTGGAGCACCTCTGCTATGGGGACAGGCTGAGAGACCTGGGGCTCTGCAGCCTGGAGAAGAGAAGGCTCCAGGGGAACCCCTTATAGCTGCCTTTCAGTACATTAAGGGGATCAACATGAAAGCTGGGGAAGGGACTTTTTAGCCTTTTTTATAGGGCATGTAGCAACAGGACTAAGGGAAAATGCTTTAAACTGGAAGAGGGTAGTCTTAGGCTAGATATTAGGAAGCAATTCTTTAGCACTATGGTGGTGAGACACTGGAACAGGTTGCCCAGCAGGGCTGTGGATGCACCTTCCTTGTAGGCATTTGAAGCCAGGCTGGGCAGGGCTTTGAGCACCTTGGTCTAGAGGGAGTGTCCCTGCCTACAGCGGGGGTTTGGAACCACATCATTTTAAAGGCCCCTTCCAACCCAAACCATTCTATGACTCTTTCATACTGGGTCACAGGAAAGTGATTTTACACAAACCTTCCAAACTCTTATACAGTCACTTCCCACATTAAGGATCAAGAATTATAGACTATATTCCCAGGTTGGGGAAAGGTGCTTATCTTTTAAACTGAAGTTCCTCTCTTAATTCCATCTGGCTTATTCATTCTGGGAAAAAAAACAAAAAAACCAAAACAAACAAACAAACAAACAACAAAACCAAAAAAGAACAAACCAGAATGGTAGTATGGGAAAACCTGTGGATGACCACAGGGTAAAAGATGTACTGAAGACTGTATCTAAGCTATACTACAGGTATGCTCTGCAGCATAGCCAGCTATCCTAGCTCTCTGCAATCATGCAGGTTCACTTTCCTTCCTAAGGGGAAGGAGAGTAAGGAAGCTGGGATGGCTGGGATTCACTACACTGTAGGGCTGAAGCACAGCTGGGATCCGCACTCAATTAAAGGCACTCTGTAATTCTGCCACTTAGCAATGGATATATAAATGGATGTATATGTAACAATTTTTGCTTTTAAAAGAGATATGAAATAACTTAAGGGAGATATCAAATCATTCTTCCTATTAACATTTTGCATTGCAATGGATGCTGTTATTCAAGATTGCTGTAGAATGAAATAAATTAGTTTTTAACTCATTTTACACATTTCAAGGCAATTTCTCCTTCAAGAAATGGTTTTTCTGTTGAACTCTTGAGTCTCATGTATTTCTCCAACAGCAGGACAGAATGACCACAGCTTTCACCAGCAATGATTTACTATTTTGCACGCATCTAAATAACACTGCTAATGTTGAGTAAATTTGTATAGCATGCAAAACATACTTAAGCCTAAGAACAGATATAGACAATTCTAAGTGAGGTGTGCTCTGAAAAGCATAACTGTTCAGGTAAGAACATCAGACAGAAAGTAATAAAAAAGGAAAATTAGGGAAAATACCCGAACTTCACACAAAAACACAGGTTATATGCAATAATTTTTGTCTCTTTGTGTCATAGAAAAAAGGTGTTTTTTTCCTGCATGTGAAACAATTTGCAGTTCTTTTATATCATAAGAGATATCCCTTCCAGGCTATATTTTAGAGAGAAAGAAGAAGAAGAGCTATCGATGGATGAGGCTGAATTTTGACCTTCTCAAAGAGCTAACCTACGAAGCCAAGCGAATGATTGAAGGAGTAGTTTATGAGATGCGGATTTATGCAGTGAATTCTATTGGCATGTCCCGGCCAAGCCCTGCCTCACAACCCTTCATGCCAATTGGTGAGTTCTAGCACGCTCTGTTATTTCCAGGAAAAAAGAAGACAGAACAATTTTCACCTCTTCTATTCAACCGCCCTTACACTTAAAAAGAACATATTACAAAAAAGCTATTCTATGCTTAATCAGCTTTTTCCTTTGTCATCTTCCTCTTCTCCATCTCTCATTTCCCTTCCTGCAAAGCACAGAGGTTCCAGTTTCATGAAATTGCTGATGAATATTTCGTTGTTATAATTAGAAGTGTGAGAGTCAAACTGGATCTGGAAAGGAGCAGAGCTAATTGACAGAAATTTGCCCGTCCCTCTCAACTTCCCCCACTGCATTATGGGTGCAAATATCACAGTATCCCACCCAGTCCTCCCTTAATCCTGGCCCCCTCTGCAGCCAAAAGGATAGCTGATTAAGAAAATATTTAGGGAATGATTTTCTATAAATAATCCACCCCATCTCAGCAATACAGTGTCTCCTGCAACCTCTGAGCCAGAACAAACTAAGAGAGACCTCAGGAAGCCTCCCTGCTAAGAGCTTTAGAAAGAAGAGCCACAAAAATACAACTAGCTGGACATTAAAATGACAAGAGTCGCTAAATCTACTAATATCAGTGAAGGGAGACAACCTGCTGAAGGAAATAATGCAAAAGCAGATGATGCAGTGAATGGGTCAGAAGGAAAGGATGCACTGCAAGAAGGGTCTTTTCATTCTGGATTTCAAATACAAAACAGCTGGTCTGCAAGAAAAGAAGGCAACAAAAAATCATCAAGCGGAGCTACTGAAAAAAAAGGTCCAAAGTTTTCATGGGATAGGTAGAGTTTTACTTGATTAAGGATAAAGTTCACATTTTGCTTCAGAAAAGAGGTTTGGGGTTTTGATGGTGTATACACTGTGTGGTTGTGTATGCTCCCAGCTGCCGCCTTCTCCTGTTTCTGTTCACAGACCTTGATTCCATTATGAATATGAAAAATATTGACATAACCACAGAAAGGAAACTGGATTATATACATTTTTTGCAGTTACATCAGAAATTAAGATCAATTTCAATCCATTGCACGATTTATAATTCTGTATTTATCTTTGAAGAATTTTTAATAGGTAAAATCTCTCAAGATTATTCAAAAGATATTCAGTTTAGAATATAAATCTATGCAGAGTATGTCAAATTTCTTTAATTCTTAATGATTGCTTTTATTCATGCATACTAAAAACTATGTTCCAGTATTTGCAAATGTTATTTTGAAGGTATCTTTCTGTTTGCTTTTTGGAATCAATGATTTGGTAGCAGCATTTGTGTATATTCACAATTTGGGATTCTCCAGTAAGGGCTTCTCTTGTTTCTTTTTTAATTAGTAGACAAAAATTGTATTTAAGAAGATTGAATCTAGCCAGTGGTCATTCTGAACTATGGATTTCAAGGGAACTATGAGATTTGCATTCTGAAAATACATAAAATAGCTATATGTCAATGAATTGAAGGTTTTTCAGCCCAGTATTTTTTTTTTTTTTCAGATGCATCTCTGTTACAAATAATCAAATCAGAACTAATGTTTCAGTAAACATGTAGTCAAAACTTCCGGTCATGTTCTTCACTTCTTGATCAAAAGAAGTTACATCAAATTTAGCCAGTGATGAATTTTGTCTAACTACAATCAGAGTGTAAACACAGCACACACAAATTGTATGCATTTGGATTTCCAAACATTACTGAAGACTTCTGCTGGTAATTTGACTGAATTGCTTACAATTTATTTTTATTTTTTTTTTAAATGTTCAGAGGAGCATATGAGAACAAGAACTATTATTACAAGCACCTTTATGCTATCATACAAGAACCTCCCCATAACAGGAATCGTACACCACACTTCTATCAAATGAAGTATTAGTAGTTGCATTTTACAACTGAGCTTCAGCTAAATTCATTTTATTAAAACAGCGGTACATAGTTCAGATACTAATCATAACTTCTACAGCCTTTGAATTCTGACAGTAACGTTCCTGTTTCTCAGAATTTACTTCTAAACGTTGCCTTACAGCTCCTCCAAGTGAACCAACACACTTTACAGTGGAGGATGTCTCTGACACCACTGTTGCCTTGAAATGGAGACCCCCTGAACGGATTGGAGCAGGGGGACTAGATGGCTATATAGTGGAATACTGCAAAGACGGATGTAAGTAAGCGCAACTACTAGCCAGAGGCAACTAAATATTATTAAAATACTGCAGTTGGAAACATTTCACTGCAATATTACAATAAATAACTGCATCTAGCATCACTAAATTTGATCTCTAACCTGTGACTAATATCCTTGGCATCCATCACAGATTTACCTGACATGACACTAACACCATGATAGTCACATCAACCATATCCTCATATTCACAATCATCATAAACTTTGATAAAGTACTAACAAGAATATCAGTGTTGTTCTATAGTCACTCTTATACTTTTGTTGTACTCAAAGTGTGTATTCTCTAAAACCAATACAATACCATGACTGTAAGGAAATTAGTCAAATTTGCAAGTAACTGTTACCTCTTGGAATATCTATGGTCCAGTAATAAAAAAAAATATGACTGCATCGTATCTACAATGTTCAATGTACTGCATTGTGATGCTACAATATAACACTCATTTTAAAAAAATCAACTACCAAATTTATAATTATTTCAGTCATGGAATCTTCTCTGACAGGAAACTCAACTATCATACAAGCTTAGCTAGGGTTTTTACAGGGTATAATTTATCCAGAAGTCAATTCTAGTCTTTAATGAGATATCATTATGAAATTACCAGAATCCTTCAGTCATCATCATAGAAGCATAATTTTATTGGTAGTATTTCTATGACATTAGCAAAACTTAGTAGGCCCTACAAACCTTGTTTTACAGCATCAAATGAGAAAGTAAGAATATATTCCAAAAATTATGTGCTTTGGACACCTACAGAAAATAAGCTTCAGGAAAAAATGAAATTGAGACTTCACTTTCTAGCTACTACCAAAATGCTTCCCTCTCCATCTTCTGCTAAGAAAATAAACGTCAAGAAACCCCACAGCCCTAAGCTCTGTGAAACAGAATGCTGAAGAAACTACCCAAAGTTGATCCCATACGCTTAGATCAAGAGTTCTCTTCCAGTTCAGTGTATTCCATTCTAAGTATGGTATTGCAAGTTAAATCCATGTTACCTCAATACAAATCTTCTTTCAATTGTACACAAGGCATCAGTTTGGAAAATTAATAAAATATTACAATATAAAAATCCTGTACTTGCAGCTGCAGAATGGACTCCAGCTCTTCCTGGCCTAACTGAGCGAACATCTGCACTGATTAAAGACCTGGTCACAGGTGACAAACTTTATTTCCGTGTGAAGGCTATAAACTTGGCTGGTGAAAGTGGAGCAGCAATAATCAAAGAGCCCATTACTGTTCAAGAGATCATGCGTGAGTATTTAGATTGAATAAATCTCACCCATCTATTGTCTATGGTCAAAATTCTCATTGTACACAACGCAGAAAAATCCCAGGTCTGACAAGGCTGTGCTGCCTTCTGAAAATAACATCCAAACAATTCTGTCAGCTTGACTATGTGCTAAAAATCTTCTGAACCAGAGAACACTGCCATTCCATCCAGCTCTTCTATTTCTAAAGTGTAGCTGTTAAAACAAAACTCAAACGTGCAAACTATGCTCTTCTCACCTCAGATAACATCAGCATTTAAGGGGACAGTTTTTAATATCTGGCTCTCTACTAGGAAAGCTGTATATTACTGTAAAATGACCACATTCACTGAGGCAAGAAGTCTCTTCAAATGAAAGTAGTTATCTGAACTTGATTGTTCTGGGTTATTAATTAACACCATGTTTATCACCCAGCGGTAAAGGATTACAAGTCATTTGACTGGAGTCCAAAAGATATCAAGGGCTGCTAATAATGGATTCTTCAGCCTTGACTCACACAAAGTGTCTGCCAGAGTCTCACTAACAGCAAAATGACTCAGTGTAAACGAGAGCTGCGATACAGCTCAAAACTAAATGGACATGATGACAGGTACTCCAACTGCCGGTTAATATACTTTTCTAAAAATGACTGAGAAAAGAAAATGGGACACAAGGAGAATGTAGAAAGCGGGGACTGAAAGAAATAGCATACACTGCTGTCCTTTAGTGAAAAGGAAGGTGTGCTATGTTACTCCACACCCTGCACCTCGAAGTACTGTGACTGAATTACCAGAGAGGTAAAGGCAATTCACTGATTGCTGTACTTTCTAAATCCATAAACATCTCCAAATGGCAATTTGCAAGGGGCTGTAGTAAAAACAGAGCAATGGATTAATCATCATCTATAATTACGTTTTCAACTCAATATACCCCTTGTTCTGTCACTTCTACTACCTGATAAAGTTCTCCAAAGAAATAAAGTCCACACAGCAGATTCACATCAAACAGAAGTCACCCAAAACTGCCATTCTGGATAAAACACTGTCTCAGAAGTCCTGCCATCAATGCAAAATGCTCTGTTGTAAATATGTAAATTTGTTACTAGATTTGTATCTTGTAGCCAAATACATCAGAAAATGCTTAGAGAACTACCTGCTCTGCCACTGTAAAAACAGACTGCACCATTTTCTTATGCTTACAAGTATCCAAGCCCTTCCTCTTCAGTATTTCATCTTATTTGGCCTGTAGGTAATATCTCAAACAATCAAAAGCTTTGTATTAACATACTATTGCTTAACTGCAGAGCGTCCCAAGATCTGGCTGCCGCGCCATCTCAGACAGACTCTGGTGAAGAAAGTTGGTGAGACAATCAATATAATGATACCTTTTCAGGTTTGTGCTGTTTTCTATTTACCTACAGGTATTTATCGTGACTTAGCTAAAGTAGTTTCCCTTATGCAAATTCCTATTGCTCCACTTCTTGAGCAGTATTAATAATCGCTCTAATATCAGTAAGGTGTTTTGGTTGGTTTTGTTTGTTTTTACAGTTCCAGTTGATTTTGTTTGTTTTTCATAACTTTTCTTGTCCAAGAGAAAGGATTAATTACTGTAACTGTAGAACCTTATCTTGTTAACCACACTTCAGTTACGCAAGCTTGTTTAAACTTGTAAAAAACAATTAAGCTGATAATTTTGCTGCTTTCGGTGTCCAAAATGAAGAAAATTTACCCAAAATTGACAAGCTGCCCCACAAGCAGAGAATCTGATGAAGTTTAAGGGGTTATATTAAGAACATAAGACACAAATATATCACTGTCTTCCTAGAATAACCTTTTCCTATTGTCACTATTTTCCTAAAATAACCTTTTTGCTCAGGCCAGGCTTATCACAGCACTCCCCAAGAGCTGACAGTTCTTTTCCCTCCTTCCCTCATAGCCCTACCTATGTCCTTAGTTCCCTGGGCCAGCACAGGTACACATTGCAACTAATTCAGCACTTCACTTAGCGTATCATTAGCTGTTGCCAAACAAAAAGGATGAACACAGTCTTCCCTAACTCTCCTCAGCAAGGACACTGAATCATCTGTATTTTATTCTGTCATCAGTTTTAACAGACCTGTACTAAACTAATCCTAGAGATTTCTAGTCCACAGCCTAATTTAGCTGAAATGAACCAACTAATTCTTAAGTTATTTGAGTGGCTGATTGACAGACAAATCACATAAACGTATAGGTTTCTCTTTCTAAAAAAGGTAAGGGAAACAAGAAATGCTAAAACCTATCCATCAACACTAAATTTTAGCCAGGAAACAAAACCACAGTTTTAATTCATGGTATATTTAATGAAATATTTTTTTAGCTATTTTTAAGTAATTAAGAATTATTAAACAATTCCTAATACTTTAAAGCTTCTTAAGATACTCAAAACTGGACATCTTTCAGAAAAGCATAGCAAAAATAACATTTTGCTATTTGTATTTTTTAGAAAGTTTTTTTATTGAATTTTTTTTAGTGAGGAAAATTACTAAACAGATACAATTGCAGTCTTCAAATTACAAAGAGCTTAATTTATAAGACCACGAACCATGGAACACAGGGTAGGATAGGATCTAGACAAAGCATAAACCAATACCTTCTGTTATCTATAATTTTTCCGCACCTCTGTCAAAACTGCCTGACTCCTGTGGCCACTACTTAGTCACTTAACACTGGACTTCTGTCAACTATTTTGCCATGGTATCCTGAGCTAAATCCTATTCACAGTTCTATCCAAACTTTTGATAAGAATGTACAGAAAAAAACCCACAAGTGCAATATTATTACTAACCTATGCCCTACTTACACATCAGGCAGGTGGGATTTCTGCTGAAAGGAGGGGGAGCCAACATATTCTTATATCAAACTCAGCTACGTGGGCAAATGATTGAAGGGCTATTATGTGTTACTAGTGTGTAAGACTCACAGTGTGACTCCTTGTCAATCATATATATGTGAACATAAACATGAAAAAACACTTAAATTTGTTCTTCACTATCAGTAGACTCCCTCTTGAAGCTACTCTGGCGTGCTATTTATCTCCTTTGTCACTCACTATTCTCTCAGATTACCTGTGACACATTACTGAAATACAACCCTCTGAGATAGGTGCTTTCTATCTGTTTATGTTTTTCACAGCCTATAAATACAAGACTATATGAAAACCAACACTGTGAACACTTGTAATCTTCAGTTACCACTCAGAAAGACCTATAACGAAAGTAGCTGATCAACAACACTAGAACAGCAGCAGCTGCAAAGCTTAATTTATAACTGAGATATCTCTTCCAATCAGCCAACGAAAAAGGATACCTCATAATGTTACAATTTCTTGTAATCATTTTTACCAAGATACTTGGGGCTAGATTCTGTGTTCAATTTATTAAATCAATCAAGAACTACTCAATCTTGTAATCAGCCAAAAAAACTAGCCAAGTATTTGTCTTGACAAACTAGACGTTTAAGCAAACAAAACTTCATTATTAATATATATATATTTTTTTTTTTACTCATATGGAACCTCTACTTCCATACAAGTAAAAATTTACTCTAAAATTTACCCTACAATAGAGGACTGAACTTGACAGGGTCACCAACAATCAGATACGGCAAGGAAAAAAAAGTACATATTTCCTTTGCCTTGTTCAGGAATTTCTTCTAAAGCTTCCACCTGAAGCTCTCTCTTTCTCTATTAGTATTTTGTAAGAATGCTCTGAGAAAACAGATAAGGTGAAGGTACACTAAAACTGGACAAAATAACCTTATGTTATTATTTCAGAGCTAGAGGTCTGATGTGACTATACTCCTTGACAGAAAATATTAAGAAAATCAGTTGCCAACTGGGGAAGAAGGAAGATCCAAAACCACTGCTTACATCAGAGTTAATGATACATCATCAATTATGATACAACAACAAATGATGCAGAAACCAGATAAATGACTGTTCTTTTTAAAGAATAACGTTTAGGTTGTTCAGAAACATTTTAAACTGTAAATTTGGACAGATCTTTGCTTGCTTCTTATAAAAACATTTTCCTAATATTACAGAAAAATTAAGTGTATAAACTTTCAGAGCAGTAGCAGACAAACCTAGAATAAAGGCACATCAAGGCATAGATATTTCTTTTCATTCTGTCTGCATTTCAGTATCTAAACCAGAAGCCTGACTATCATAAACTCCCTTGGTAGCCCAAGATACAGACTTACAAAGTTTCACCATGTTAATCTGACAGAAACTTTAAAATATACATATATATTTTCTGCTAGATTGACTACAAAAGCAGTTAATAAACATGATTTAGCCCACTTCTGTTTTACTGGCATTTTTGCTGTGGAAAATACTGTAGAAGTATCACTCAAAACTTCTAGAGAACTATTACCTACCACTTTTCCCAGAAGCGGCTGAGTGATGGTAACATAAACCATGCTCAATGATTTCACAAAGTCATTCTTCAGTGTTGAGGTGTGGCAACACTATTTGTCTAGGCTGATGGTCAGAAAAACAATTTTTACTATGCAGGAACAATTATACAATAAGATTTACACCCCCAAATTATAACATTTTAACCATGATTTGAAAGATATTGAAAATGCCTCGGGATAGAGAATTAAATGTTTTAAGGGAGTGAGTGAAAGGAACAATCAGCTAATTAACTCCTTAAACAAAGATTTCTATTACTTAACAATAATTGAAGTTAAACTGATCAACTGTTGGCTTCACAGATGCCTGGAAAATAGGACAAGACCAGCACAAGCATTTTTTTTTTGTAAGCATTTAGAAACTCTACTCTTAGCAGCTTTGCATACTAAGTTAGGGTTTATAGACTTATACAACACCATTACAAAAAAAAAAAAAACAAACAAACCAGAGAAATGAAAATAAGAACCTATTGCAGTCTAAAAATATTATTTTTTCTCCTCAGGGTAAGCCAAGACCCAAAATAAGTTGGATGAAAGATGGTCAAACTCTAGATTCGAAAGATGTGGGAATTCGGAACAGCAACACGGACACAATCCTTTTCATTAGAAAGGCAGAACTTCATCACTCAGGAGCATATGAAGTCACTCTTCAAATAGAAAATATGACAGATACAGTTGTAATAACAATTCAAATCATAGGTAAGAACCCATCAACATCAGAACAAAGCATATCATACAAAGCAGTTACCCTGATGAGGCAATCCAGAGATACATCTACCACCAAATCCCTTTCTAACAATGGCTGGTAGCAGACGACCAAGACAAAGCACAGAGCAGGACCAGTAGTTTCCAGAATTTTCCCAGCTTGGAACGAGATGTGTCCTGGAGACTTCCTGAGGGAGAGGGATTACCTGCGTGTCCAATGAAAGATATTCTCTCCTATTTTGTCCAGTTTTTGAACCTTGATCAAGTTTCAGAATCCAAACATTCTTTTGCACTTAAATTGTGAAATTCTTTACATCTACAACAATCTATTTGGTTCAGCTTGAGTCTCTCTTCTCATAACCTTATTTGACATCCATGCTATTTTTTTTTTTAAATCAGAAAGACAGCAAATAATCATTTATCACTGCTTCCATGCTGCTCATGATTCTGAAGTCTTCAATCCCACTCTCCTCAGTTAACATTCTCAAGCTTTAAACTCTTTGTTAAGTTTATTTTCACAAAGATGTCACTCATCTTACCATTTGAATTTGAGTGTTTTGGTATTCTAGAAAACAGCAATCATGTCTCCAAAGGAAGAAATATGAATCCTGAAATGTACTTTCATTGTGTTACTTCAGCAGATAACAAGAGTGAAGATAAAAGCATGGCACTAATATAGCTCTATAGGTATATTAAGAGTTAAAAACAATGACAGGATGCAGTCTTTTAAACTTATAAAACTCGTGTTTTAATGCTTCACTCTGCTGAGAGTGTCTAGGTAGCTTAAGGCTTAGTGGAAGCTTGCTCTCTATTTTATACAAAATCCAGCCTCTTTGCTAGTTTTATACTGAAGGAATGGACTGCTCAAGTTCCAGTATTTTTCTCTGGGATTTTGTGAGATATATTCTGGGATCTTGAGCACTCAGATTTCAATAATGTTCAGCCAGAATTATTCTATTTCTCCTTATTACAGCTTTACATAATTTCCTGATAACAATCTTTATTTCTTCTTTTCCTTCCTCTTTCACACTGTCATCCTAAATTTCCTTCACTATATCAATACCTTCTTAGAATATTCATTTTTGGGAGAAGAACACGATATAAACATAATTCCTAATTCTTTGAAATGAAAGGTATAATGCTGTTTTTGCCTAAAATTCTATAAAACATAGTTGGCAGAATCCATATGAAGTGGTGACAACAACAAGCAAGAAAGCCATACCAAATTGGAGTGAATGTTTTAATACCATCAGCTGGTCCTACTGAGGAGGATGGCTGCAGTACTGTGACAAAATAGAGGCCAACCAAAACAGGATAATCCCAGCTGACTAGGATCAAGAAGTACACCCTAAATACCAAAATATCTTTCTAAAACCAGTTCAAGATTCTCAATTCTAGCACGCTGCTCCTATAGCATAGTATCAAATGTCTTTCATTCAGTTTGGCACTATAGAAAAAACACACACTGATAGTCAAAGAGCTTTATATTGAAAATGACTGAAAACGCAGATAATCTTATCACAAAAATTAATGCAAGTCTGAGTTGAAAGACAGGAATTAAAACTTATTACTTCTTGGGCAGCTTGCTCAACTGAAAGGGAATAAATAAATTCCATTAGATTCCAGGCAAAGAACAGAAAGGGCTTGAAACATATGCAGATACTTCTGCAACTGAGGCATCTAATCTGATTCTTGATTTTGTCACTCTTTCATCAGAGCTATCTCCTTCCATTTCAGACAACAGAATCAAGCAGTCTGATAAAGAAAAATTCTCATGATCATTAACAGTGCAAATTGTGAAAGGACAACACTTCAAGAACTCTATAGCCAATTTGTGTCCTATCACTTAGGAAGTACCATCATAATCAGTGGAATGAAGTGACACAGATTCAAAAGTCATACCATGAACTTTCTGCTTTTTATGGAAAACTTTCTTCTGTACCATCAGTGGGGCCACTTCAGTCACATTGATCAAGATGGAATCCAAGTAGAAAGGCTCAAAAGTACTGCTGATGGAGTTGAGATTGGTGACAATTCATCTAGATTTTTGACTGCCTTCTGACAGAAATCAGACCAACTGACTACCAGTTCTTGCAACAAAATGCATACGGCAGTTTTTGTGAGAACCTTACAAACTTTCTGAACAGGTTAAAGAGGTTAGACTTTTTCAAAGTAGAACAGATTGTTGTTGCCAGGTTCTCTCATCATATTTTCAAACCAAGCAAAGATGCAACATGTTATTCAGCTTGTGCATCAAATGTAATCCTGCATTTTCTTGTTTCAACATGAGTTACGTTCCACAAGGAAAATATGTGTTTCAGATTTAATTTGAGTTCAGAATTGTTTAATTCTGACATAGAAACACCATTTATGTTGGAAACAAGAACTCCAGTACCTACTGTGGTACTTCACAGATGTCCTTGTTGATAGTTCTGAGGGTTATAATAGCACACAGGACTAGAAAAGATCACCTGGTTACTGAGTTCAGTTCCCTACAGTCATTGCCACCACAGAACTTGCTCAAAGGCGCTGACAGAGCATTTAAACACCTTAGGCCAGTTTTCATGGTCCTTCACCATCAGAAGTTCAAATGCATGAAAAGTTCATTTCTGGGACAGTAAAGAAGTCTGAGTTAATGAAACAGTTCAATGGTTAGGAAAATTTCAGGTTACAGCAGCGTTAAATAAAATTGCGTATCACAAATAAATTGTATTATAGGATGTCTGGCTGGAGTTAAGTGATGTTTTCTTTTCATTAGTATCCTACTTCTTTTCTTCCTGCTCCACCCTATCACTAAAGTTGTGCTATGCAGAGAAAGTAAGTTACATTAAAGACTCAAACAATTATTAACTACTGTCTCAGCACATTCTAAAACTAGATGAGAAAGTTGTTGAGCTGTGTTAGATATGAGCTATCATCCTGGCTTTCACACTAGCTTCAAAATCCCAGCAACCTCCACTTTTCAGAAAGATTCATTCTGCTTTCCTTGTTATGCATATTTTTTAATTAGCAATGTAGTCAAAAAGGTACAGATAATCATTGATAATCAGAGTGAAGAGAATTTTTATGTATTTTTCTCAGAACATCTTACATCATTTACTATTAAACAATTCTAGCAGTCTTGTCTGCTTGACACTCCTAACAGTTGGACAGATATTCTCAGTGCAGGACTAGATTCAGTATCCTAAATATTTGTCCTTGTTGGCACCACCTCATCCTACTTGGCTAAAACCCCCTTCCTTGCCCAGACAGTCTCAAATGTTTGGCCTTCCTTAGTGAAAAGGAACACAGGTTATTTGTTATCGGTACTCTCACTGTACCTGAAGGACTGACAAATTGTTATGTTGTAGAGCACATAATAAACCTGTAGCAAAGAGAGCAATCACACTCATCCAAAAATTCACAAGATTCTTTTTCAACTTTAAGGAAGAGCTTATCTCACCAACATCTATTGTGTTGCCTATATATTTCAGTAGGCCCCAGGCATCCCAGGAAAGTATTGAAAAGGGCATTTGAAAATTTCCCAACTTTCCTGTTTATGGTTTCAACTTCACATAAATGAAGTGTACTGCTGTGGAACAATTATAGATTGCTATCAAGTTCTATTTTTACCCTGCATGGGAGGAAATGACAACACTTTCAGCTCCTGAAGCAGAAGCTAAGTTTTTTTCATGTCTCCTCTGCAGATAAGCCTGGCCCTCCTCAGAATATAAAACTGGCTGATGTTTGGGGATTTAATGTTGCCCTGGAGTGGACACCTCCACAAGATGATGGCAATGCACAGATCTTGGGCTACACAGTCCAGAAAGCTGACAAAAAGACAATGGTAAGCTGCACTGAGTCCTTGAAATTCTAAGGAGCTTAAACACTTTCTTTTGTGCTTGAACACAGACACCTAATGAAAACAGCTAAATTAACGACCTTCAGTTGTATGTCCAAAGTGTCCTATGGCACATCAAAGGCAGATAAACATTTTAGAATATAATCTAAAAAGAACCAAAACACTAAGTGGAAAAAAGAAGCATATATAGCCTGCCCCATTTCCGGTGGTAACTGGACTGATGCTGTGAAGGTGTTCTGAATCACATTTTTTACAAACACAGAGATAAACTGAAGGGGAGGGAAGAGCTCAGTGCTGGGCATCTTAGGGAACATACTGGGACAAGCAGTTTTATCAGGCAGACTGGGAAATGCCTCTCTCAAGGAAGGCCCCATCAAGTAGATGCATTCTCATCAGGCTCCCAAATGTAAGTAGTGCTAAAATGTAAGGAGGTTTTCCTCTTTGCTGTTGTTCCAAAGTGCAAATATTCATACAACTACATGAGCCAGAAAATAGAAGAAAACAGGTCAGCTGATCTCCACAAGAAAGAACATTAACGTTCATTTCCCAAGCTGTTAAATACCTGTAGTAAAAACAATCTCTCCATACCATGTCTGACCTCTTATCTTCTAACTAAGTCTTTCTTTCTAAGATCTTTCTAACTAGTGCAGTTTTGTTGCAGGAATGGTACACTGTTTATGACCACTACCGTCGTACAAACTGTGTAGTGTCAGACCTGATAATGGGCAATGAGTACTTCTTTCGAGTCTTCAGTGAAAATTTGTGTGGATTGAGTGAAACTGCTGCAACTACCAAAAATCCTGCCTACATCCAAAAAACAGGTAACATTTACTATTAAAACCAATCATTACAAAAGCTGCTAAGTCCCAGAAATAATACGTTTGCAAATGAAAAATATAATACTAGTAGATGCACCACCAGAGATATTTTCATTACTAAGTAACTAGCACTCAATGTATTTTAGCATTAACAGCCTTTATTTAGGCAGACTTCTGTAGAAACTGAATATTTTTTCAAAAAATACTTGATCAGACACTTTTCCTAAACTATAATGTTTCCAGAAAATAATACAACTGTGTGGTAACACATTCTAGGATTAAAAAGTAAAGATTTATATGATGAAGACTGCAGGCATGGTTATCACATTTTTAACATAAGCAGAAATTCAATCACTGTGAGAATCTTTCAACCAAAGTATTGCATTTTCAATGAAACTCAGTATTAAAATTTGCTGCATCATTAACATCAGTGCCATTGAAGTCACACAGCTAAAACAACATGGCAGTTAGAGTGTACACAACTCACAGAACTGAAAGCAGTTCTTACTATTTTGTTTCTTTGAATTGCAGGCACCACTTACAAGCCACCTAGTTACAAAGAACACGACTTCTCTGAACCTCCTAAATTCACTCACCCTTTAGTAAACCGGTCTGTGATTGCAGGATACAACGCTACACTCAGCTGTGCAGTGAGAGGAATCCCTAAGGTACAAAATATATCAACTATCATTGATACAAGCAAAGATGCTGCCTTGGAATTCATGCCAGTTAAGCGTAACTAAAATAACTATGTTGAGGAAAAGTACACATCCCTGAATTATTACCCTCTAGAGATAATGGTAGTACACAGAACCAGATCCACAGAAGTATCTTTTCAACTTCTTGTGTTATTTTTCAGCTGTTATGCCTCACCCAGTTTACCAAACACAGTAAACCAGTGAGTAGAGTACAGGTAGAATGGGGTAAACACATAGATAGGCAATACAGCAAGGGAGACAGAGGAAAGGGAAGAGAAAGACTTGCAGCTTTATGCTAACCTTGCCATTTGGACAGTTTTGCTTTTGTTTTAAATCTCTTGAGAATATTTTCTCACTCTGCATGTATTTGTTGAAGTCTCTTCAGAGAGAAGAAAAAGTAGATGTATTTTTTTTTTGTTGTTAGAGTCAGGAACAAGTAGTAAAAACTGTATCAGCTAGGAGTTAAATTAAGGTTTGTCAGAAACGGGAAACAGACTTTTTGACTGCAATGAAGGAATTTACCACATTATGATGTAATCATGTCATAAATTTAAATGACAAAAAAAAGACACAGTACCCTTTTCCTTCCCCCTTCAGGCTGCTAATTTACACCTCCTCTCCACCTCTCAGGCCAGCACAAGGATTTGATAGCTACAAAGCAAAACACAAGATCACTGCTTGTTGCAATTAACTCAGGAAGCACAGGCACATAAGCAGCTGCAAAACAAGAACAGCACAGAAGAAACCATAGCAAGGACAGACAAAATCCATCTCCCAGCAGCTGCCTCAGGCTACATCAATGATGTAATTACAGTGCTAGCTGAGATGTTCCCTCTGGGTCATCTGACCCTTTTGAGTTTCTGTATCACTTCATTGTGTAACATTTTTACACTTCCTATTTTACAGCTGTTCAATACAGTAGACCGAGGCTTTTGAACCTGCTTGCTAGCTTTTCCTTCTACATTAGCCCAAAAAATAGAGTCTTCCTCTTTCAGCGCATCTCATACTCTTGAAGCAGCTTTTCCAGATACATTTCTGAACTTGCATTGCCCAAATTAATCATAAAGAAAAACTCTTTATCTAATGGGAAACTTGACAATAGGAATTTTTCAGAGAGCAGCTGATGTCAATGCAAGATTTGCCATTCCGAAAAACTGTAGGTTACCAAGTACTTTAAGTCTGCCTCTCTATTATGTGTATCAGTGAGCTTGAAATAAACAAGAACAGTTTGCCCTACACATGTTTTTCATTTTAAAAACTTAATTTATAAAAGACACTGAAATCAAAACACGATGACTTGAGTTGCTACTGGACCAACCAGCTGAGCAGGAACTTGATTCTGAACATTAAAATTGCTAAAGATGTGCTAAATTGTTTGGAAAATCCTTTCCCAGACCTAAACAAGTCACCCCATATTGGCCACACTCTGTAATTCTGCTCTGATAATCTCTGCAGTTCAATTCACCTTATGTAAGGTAGCTGAAGCAGTTAAAAATATTTTAATACGCACAGTGAAACAATCCCTGAAGGAATGGATTTGTAGCCAGTGTAAAGGTTTTAAAAAGTCACACTAATTTGTAGTATAGAGCTACGCGTTCTACTATTTGAGAGTTAAAGAAAATTCTTAACAATTGAATCATAAGCTTCATGAGTTCATACTTGGAAGGAGCAGGGGTTTCTTGAAAAATAATTAATGTTGCTGTGCAGTGTGCAGCCCTCACAATGCATACACTTTTGATGGCTAAACTAACATTGTTAGACTAGCAGTAAGTTTCATTTTCTGCCTCCTTTTTTAAAATTCTTCTTTTGTGCTCCTCAGCCAAAGATATTCTGGTACAAAAACAAAGTGGATCTCTCTGGGGATGCTAAATACCGCATGTTCAGTAAACAAGGTGTGCTGACCTTGGAGATTCGAAAACCCACTCCATTTGATGGGGGCTTTTACACCTGTAAAGCTGTTAACGAGTGTGGTGAAGCTGAAATAGAGTGCAGACTGGATGTCAGAGGTAATCAGATTGATATTATGGATATATTATGGATAACATTAACTTTGCAGGGAAAAACCAACAATAATGGTATTTAAAAAAAACAAACAAAAAACCACCAAACACTATTGTAACACTGTAATGGGTTGGAAACTGCAGCAACAGCATAGTAGCAAAGTCCTAGATTGCAGCAAGTGAGGATATACTCAAAAAAGGCAGTCCTGGACACAGAAACAAAGGAAAGAATCTGCCTACCTTCAAAAGGCCTCACGGACATGGGGAGCTCCAGCAAGATACCCTCACCTCTACTGCCAACCCTTAAATGAGGTCTGGGAAGGGGTGGATCTTAGCTCCAGCCTTACTGGTCACCCAGGTGCACTGAATGCAGCTGAGCTCCCCAGGGTTGGCCCTGCCTACCACCAGGTGTTCAATCACTGGTTCGAGCCATGACTCAGCATGTCCACAACAGTTGGCTAACATTATCTAAATTAATCTACATTTGTTGATTACACACAAAAGCAAGATGGTGTTTTTCAGGCTAAACTGTTACAAAATAATTAAATTACTTGCTAGGCAACACAGGGCCACACATTTCTGAGCTGTTGTTTCTAAAGGAGATAGCACAAGAGCCTATCAACAAACACTTCATTGTGTGTAATTGTTCTAAACCGGTGAGTTGTACTCTGCAATAGAAGTTTGAACTCCAAAGTTATGAGCTGCTAGATATACGTAAGAGGTAACACATGCTATGTTGCAAACCATTTCCAGGTGGACACTGATAATTTGTTAAGCACCACAGTAAGGAATATCAAGTAAATATTTTCAGCAAAGCCACCACTAACATATCTATTTGACAATATGCTCATCTGAGTCCTGAAAGTCAGCAACGCAGCTCTGCTGAACTCGATCTAAGAGCTCTGAGAAGCCTAGCTGATGTGTGTGGCACCTTATTAAGACACATATGCTATGTTCAGTTCAACAGTTGCTCATGTACTTCTGTTCAGTGCCATCCTGCACACTGTAGAAATGGCTCAGAACTTCTTCTCATCGTCCTTCCGCATCTGCTTTAAAAACATTATTATCACCTTAAGACTATCACAGATAAAAACAACCATGACAGAGATTCCATATTTATGCTTCAGCAATAGGTCCCGATTTAGAATTAGCTTCCTAATAATTTCTTACTTTTTTTTTTTTTTTTCCAGTACCTCAGTAAGACTCTGAATCCCAATTCATTCACACAGCAAGGTATGAATCAAAATAATTCAGCCAGATAAAGGAACAACAGGTGCTTGGTTATATATAAGAATAAACATTGTTTGGTTTTGTTAGGCCTAATGGAATTTTGATAATCTGGAGGTACATGCACGTTCTGATTTCCATTTGTAATTATCATGTGATCGCATTCTTACAAGACAGTTTGTTTGGGTTTTTTTTGTCAATATTTCACAGGTCCCAACCTTCACTACGCTGTGCACAGTGTAGAAACCCATAAAACTAATGGAGTACTTTATTTTCTTTCCTTAACTCACTACAAGTACCTCCTCTATGAGACCATATGCTATTTATTAACATGAAGAAAACTGTCATCAATAATATGTATGCATTACTTTAACCAAATGTGGTTAAAATTACTCTGCATCTAGAAATGTAACGTGCATTGTAGACATTTCAAACATGAAATTGATGTATTTGACACTAAATCCTTCTCCCTGTTTTCTGTCTCAGCCCTGGAATGGAATTTGAAGAGATGAAAAATGAAGAAATTAATGAATGATAACTTCACTTACACTTAAGAGTTCTGCACATGTTAAAAGTCATTTAATGTGTAGGTTGCTCCAAAAGTAATGCCTCCTATTAATTTTAATGGAAACTACAACAGATACAAGAGCACAATAATACTATTTGATAGAAAAAATTCTCAGCTATAAAACACTTTTTTTTTTTCCCCCCCCAACACAGTCACCACCATTAGCTAAGCATTTTCACCATCAATAAACAAAAGCCTGTATTCTCTGCTCATAACAGTCCATATCAGAAAAGATGAGAAACTGTCACTGTTGCCACTGCCTCGCTGTGCTCACATCGACAGTTTGGTCTCCATAACTGTCCAGCAAATGGTGATGAATGACAGTGGGTGCCATTTTCTCTGCACGGAGGAGTTCAGTTCCACACCTTTGCCTCATACACACTTCTATGGCAGACCCATTTTGTCAGACTGCCCCTCTGCTGCCATCTGTCAGCAGACAGCAACAAAATGTAATGGAGTATTGGCAGGAAGGTTCAACCTCTGCTGCCACACCACCAACATCCACCCCTGGTTTCATAGGCTGACATCAGAGAATAGGAGGCATTGCTTTTGGAGCAGCCCTCATACAAACAAATTATTTCTAACACTGAATCACCTTTCCTTATATTGATCTCTGCACAGTAGAAAGTAACTTCCAGCTCTTCTGCTTTTACTGCCAAGGCTTGAAATATCCACTTCCATGCTCTTGGGCATATATTTATAGAAACACATCTGAAACACACTGTTTGAGAATCTATGGGTTAGGGTACTGCTCTTTTTTATACATGAAGTGGTTTATTTGATAATTAACTACTGTTAACTACTGATAACTACTGTTTTTTTTTTAAGTTTTTGAAAAGACACCCACATAGACTTTCAGGTATTATATGTTTTTGCAGCCAATCCTAGACATCACCCTCATCTACAGAGAAAACATTGTACATCAGATGAAACACTGAAAGATGCAAAGAAATACTATTTGCACATTAAAAAAAATCAAAACAAAAAGCTTGTAATAAATGCAATAACTTTACTGTCATCAGATATCACTGGAGGCTTTTGAAAGTCTACGAATGCTATGTATATTATTGCAGATAATTATGTCTAATTAAGAGAAGTTGGGGAAATTGTGGCATTTTTTCTTTCTCACTTATTAGTTTGAATAGGATTTGTTGAGATTCTTGGACCCGCATTAGTTTCTGGCTGGAAAGTATTTTTTCATAAAATCACAATAGCAGAGAAAGTGGGAAGATGAAATTAATCCAGGAAACAGCATGCTTGGGAAGAAGCAACAGAAAGAGCTAAAGTAACACCATTCCTCTACATCCAATATGTCAATTGAGAAGGTAAAAGTGTGTCTGACACAGCACATTAGCTGCACTAAACAAGCAATTGTATCTTCATAATTAAAACACTTATGTAATGAGACATGTATTTTGGTTATTTTATTACAGTATCAGAACAAGGACAGACCTTGAACATCAGTGTCAGCATTTGTCTGCAATACACCACTGTTACTCTACAAATAAATAAAAGTGATGGAAAATATGCAAAGAAGTCTACACTGTTTTGTTCTTTATTCTTCCAGGCAACACTGTTATTCTAAAAGAAAGGCACATGTAATATGTAGAAGTCAGAAATGTCCTACATCACAAATAATTTTATTACCTACTACTGGAATGTTAAGTGGATTTTTACAGGATCAACCCAGCATCTGTAGAACAATAGCTATTGCAGAGACTGAATTGCAAGAGCTTAGATTGCAAAGGACACTTTATCCTAAAGAGAAGCAGGTGTTATAACAAATACTTTGTATAATCAGAAAAGTGTTTCATGCAGAGAACAGATTTTACAGATGCTGTAATAGGATACAATACTGAAAGAGTACAAAAATAAACCAAAAGACACTAAGAAAATGGCATTTTCCATTTGAATTTTAGCTATTCAACATGAGCAAAGTGCTTTCAGGAAAAGCAGTACTTCAAAAGTGAACATTTATTCTTCCTCTCACTTGGAAAAGAAGTACACTGTATTAAATGTTAGTTAATCATATTTTTCATGAAATGTTGTTTAAATGGTCTTCAAGTCCAAAACTCTACCATATGCATAGATGTCTCTCACATACATGTAAATCCAAAGCTGAAGTTACAAAAACAAAAAAAAACAAACAAAAAACCCCAAACCACTCCAGTTAACTTTCTGAAAACATGAATCCTAAATTCAAAAACCAAAGCACTGCTCACACACCAAAGAGAGGAAATGGGGAAAGGTGCATCCACAAGATCAGAACTTTCTAATAATAAGTTTTAAAAAGACCCTCAGAAATTTCTGTGTGTTTATCGACCATTCTGTATCACAATTTATCTTTTCCATTTCTGATGATGATCTTGACCATACAGTTAATTCATCATTAATTCCGGGTTGTTAAGAAATACATACATGATGTTCATCCCTATATAATTAAAACTAATAAACTCATCAGCTTCTCCCAGATGTAGGTGGTTATGGACAAAAAACCGTCTCAATTTCCCCCATCACACCTGAAAACCTACATGACAGATAATGGTTTTTAAACTTAACTTCTGTGTGGGATTTCCTCTGCTACAAAATGAGATTGGCTTATGGTTTCTAATGCTGTGGCAAGTATTTGTATGCTGCAGTTGTGAAGTACTATTAGTAGTATAACTATTATTTTCTTTTTTGCAAATATGCAAGGTAAGATCAGTCGTGAAAACATTATTAACAAGGGCCAGACAATTTAATAAAACAAATCCACTGAAGTGTTGCATTTAAATCTGACAAGGATCTGTTTGATCCTAGTGAAGGGAAGCTTTGCTTAATAATCCTCATAAAGAAGTCACAAAACTGAGTCGTGGAAGGAAAGCAAACCTTACCAGTACTCCTTATTTTCTTTAGTTACTGTATGAGTTTGCCTCATAGTGCAAATCTTGACTGTTATTCTGCAAGAGAAAAAAAAAAAATAAAAGCAAAACGAGTTAATGGCTGAGCTGCACTTTGTAAATACAATAAAAGAGCAAAAAATAATGCAACAACAGAAAAAAGGATGAAGGAGAAACAACAGAACGTGAAATCCAGGAGAGAACAAAAATAGATAAATCAAAAGCCAAAGTGTACCACACCTAACAAAAAACCTCTCCTTCAGGTGCAGTGCCACAACGCAATGAACTCGTCAGGGACGAAGGACTGGCTTTTCTGTGCAAACACCAACTGCTGTCTTACTAATTACTCTGCTGCTATACCTCACTACCCGAATCGCACTTAAACGGCACAGCGCTGAGCTCCTCTTCATGGCGGTGACACGTGTGTTTTATGTATTTATTTATCTGCCCTCCTTCAACGCCAGCGCCTGACTCTTAGGTAGCGGAGGCGCAACGGGGGAACGCCGCAGCACCACCTCAGCGCTTCCCGCCCAGCAGCGCCGCGTGCCGCCCGCCGCCATCGGGGCGCTCGTGCCGGCCGCCTCGCGCCGCGGAACATCGGCCCGCCGTTGCTCTGCGACAGCAGGCAGCGCGGGGCTGGCCATGCCAGGGAGCACCGAGGTGCACCGCGCTGCTGTCACAAACCGCCGCTCAGACGCACCTCGCGCTTCACATCTTCCCTTCGCGCTGCAGTTTTAAATAAATTTAGAAGTAAGTTTCTAGGAGGCCCCTTTGCGAGAACCCGCTGCGAGGTTTGCAATGGCTAAACAGAATCGCTGCAAGTTGAGCGTAGGGCATTAAGGTAAAGGTTGATGGAGCCCAGTCCATCCCATCAGAACGTTTAAATGGTGTAAAGCGCCCTACCAGCACGAGTTCATCCTGCTCCCAGAGGAGATAACGCGTTCATTGGGACCACCTGGCAGGGGGAAGAGCAGCAGTCAGTCCATTAGTGCCTCAGCACCTTTGCTTTCAGTCAAGTAAAAAGAAAAGCCACAAGAATGCTTGGTATTCGATACTGCTCTTCTACAAAAGGCAACGATAATTTTTAGTCACTTTTTTGAATTTGTCAAAGCTTACTATATCAAACAACATATCAAAATTGAATTTGACTCACTGAAAATTACAGTGAGAGGTCAGGAGGTTCCTACGTTATCGTAACAAAGCGTTTCCATTCAAGTCAAGGTAGATATCTAAGATAGTCTCTATACCTCACCTGCAGGAATCGTTCCTTCTAAGAAAGTATTCTTGTGCTAGCTGTTCTGTGAGAGGTCTGCAATTGAGTAGAATGGGTACAAACAGAAAAAAATAGCAAATCAATGGCAATTCCTCTTTAACTTAATGTTTCAATGGTCAATAAAGATCAATAAAGGAAATGGTGTTTTGGGAAGGGACAGAAGTCATTTGTGTTGCCTTTATCGCAGAATAGCTTTAAATTAAAATCCTTTTGTGTTTAGGAGAAAAATTTGGAACTATCACGTCCAGGAGCATGTTTAGAAATAAAGCCATTCCTGTCTCCTTACAAATGATTTTTTTTAAGAACAGTCCACAGCGATTAAAAATAGCCCACTGATACCTTTCAAGTGCCTCCCAACCACAGACCTCTATATTAGGGCAACAAAAGCTGTCACCGAGATATCCTTCATCTGCCTTTGAGACGGTCCCTGTAGCAGTCTGCATAAGCGGTGCGTCTCAGAACAGGTTGAACCGGTGAAAGTTTGAAAGAAACAGTTAAGAATAGCTTCATTTGTGTGGTCCTGATATGGAACAAAAACATCTACTATCTGTGCCAGGCAGAAGTGCTGACAACAAGCAGCCCTAAAACCACAGGTAACTACCCAACTAGCTACAAACGCATTTCTGGGACACCTACTTCAATGCATACAAAATAACTGTGGATAGGAAAACTATGGAATAAAACCTGGAAAAACATAAGTGGTGTGCCCTCTATTTTCTTCACCATGGAAAATCACCTGACTTTGAGTTCATATTCATTACGGTTTGTAAAACAAGTATCAGAAATATCACACAATTTTCACTGTTTGTTTACAAATACAGATGTGGGACTCAAATACATGAACTGAGGATGTGGATGAAAGTAACTTAGCCTCCAGTAAGGTTGCATAAGTAAGTATAGTAGATTTCGATCATTTCTACTTGTTAATTCCTCACTGGTGTAAGCAGGGCTAAGTACTACATGTTTATAATGCATTATATTTTCTTCTCTCCCCTCCAGCACAGAAAAATGTTAACGATTTGTACATTATTTTTAGGTTACGAGCCTGTTTCAGACAAATTTTCTATGATTTATGAAATGTAACTGTTTCCAATAAGGAATGCAGGGAAGAGCTGCTGCTGGGAGCCAGCATGGACCAGCAGAACTGATACTTTTTCCTGTTCCCTCAATGGCAGTCTTTCTCACTCCATCTGAAATAGTTTAAGTGCAAAAGAAATAAGAAGCTGAGGGATGAAAGAAGATGAAAGAGGGTGACAGAGAGCTTGCTAAGAGCTGGAGAGAGGAAAAAGACTGACTGGAAGTAGGGCAGAAGCCAGGTGAGCAAGAGATTGGCTAGGAGTGCAGCCTGGACTGCTTGGGCAGAGGCTGAAATATGATTTACACAATAACGGTGGGAGTGAGAAGTACCTATGAATAATGCTAAGGGAAGTGGAGAGAGACATCTGATGAGAAACTGAGGTTCAGAACTGAGACTGGCTGGCTGAGTCTAGGCCAAGAAACTAAGTGTGGGGAAACTGTGAGGAATCCAAGCAGGGAAACTGGAAGAAAAGGGAGAGACACTGCTTGCCATCCAGGATGCTGAGAAGATAGGCACTTTCAATGGTGTTACTGAGGGAAAATGAAAAGGCAAAAAAGAGTGAGAGAAGAGGAATGGAAATACAAGGTTTCATCTACTTGAAGGAAACAACTGTTTAGAGCTTTACTTGGTATTTTTCCTGCCACCGTTTGTTCCTTTTTGTGTATAGCTATTTTGGGAGAAGGGGATTTCTATTTCTATGTAGGTTCCTAAACCATGTTTATCACTATAGTAACTGTTGTAAATAGAAGCAGCACTGTTTGCCCTTGCCTGCTGCATGTATGGTTCTTTCTTTGTAGGATTGATGTTTTAAAACAAAATTAGACTGTGCTGGAAATGCTATGTCCCAGATGCATTGTACATGTAAACAGAACGTTAACTTTGAAATTACAGTTATACTAAGCACACACAAACAGAAAATTAGCCATTGTATCTGAGCTCAGAATCTGCTTTAAAGAAGTCCTCTGCTGTACTCACCTGCACTCAAACTCCAGTCACCAACACGAAGCTTTAAACCTTCAGACACAGAGCTGGAAAGAGGGGTCATATATCACTATTGTTTAAAGAATCAGCATGTTTTTTCTACTGTTTTATTGAAGAGCCACAATGGAAACAGCTGTAGGAACTCAAAGCTCCTGCTGACTCTGAACATCTTAAAGAGCGTTACAAGGTAGTACTGTACAAAAAGCCACTGCAGGTAGCAGAAGCAAGGAAACACCACTCAGTTGTTTGGAAATGTATTGTTGTGAAAAGCAAAACTGTCTGAACTGTGAATTCTGGAAGAACAAAAGCTCTTTGGCTTTATACTGACAAGATACTTTGCACAAAGGTGCTGCTTCTTACTCCTAATTCTCACATCTTTAGGAGGTAGGAGATGCTGTCTTTTACCAAAACTTTGCTTGTTTAAGAGCAGTGACTGAGTTCCTAAATACCACTGGCACAGAGGCCCTCTTTTCTCACAGAAGCAAGATCTCATTTCAGAGGCAGTTTTTTTCTAACTTTAATCCATTTGACAGTCAAGGGGAACTGAGATCTAAATATTACTCTCTACATGAGAAACGTAGCATTTATTTTCTATTTAGTTCTCAATTCAGTGAATGCAGGAGCCTGTGCCTGACACTGGGGCAGATGGCTGGCTTGTTCCTGCTCCTGATCAGCAATATTAGCTACTGCTTCCTTCTTTGCAATACACTTGGTGGGAACCCAGTACACTATTTTCACAACTCTAGAAATATTTTTATCTTTAGAATTGTCGTAACATAAAGGTTCCTATGACAGCATGGAATCAACCACATTTTTCCTTACCCTTTGATTACTAAGAATCTTACTTGGAATTTAAATTCTTAATTTACATCTACTAGTAATTTAGCTTTTGAAGAAGAACATTTCACCTTACAATCCCTTCTGCCCTGAAAGCATCAAAGTTAAGAGGGCAGAGTTTACCTGAAGCTAATAAACAGTGTAGGAAGTTTTTATAAACATTTTCTTAAAGTAATGAATCATTTCAACATCCAACATTAAAAGTTTTCAAAAAATAGTTTTAATTTTCACCTAGCAAATGCCACCATTTTGACACTCACTGATACTGAATATTTTAACCTTTAAGATGTGCATCCTCTCATGTTAGGCACAAAAATGGCAGTCACAAACAGACAGACACCTTTTTTGGAACAGCACAATAAAGGTCTGCGATCCCACAGATAGTGGGAAAAACTGCCAGGAAAATCAGTCACAAATGCCAGTGTTTGCAGAGAACATTTAGTGGTCACTTTGAAAACCAACTTCCAGAAACAAGGAATTATAGCAGAACAAGAAACTGGTTCATGAAAAGCAAATACCTTAGGTTTTAAGGCAAGTTCATGAATTTCTGTCACATAATTACTGTATTCACTATTTGTCTAAGTGCTGTGGAAATTTCACATTAAATTAAATCACATTTATTAAAAAAAAAAAAAGTTATCTTAAAATAATTTAACACTAAGTCACAGGCTCCTCCTAGTGGTAAAACTGGTAGATTAGCTATTTTGAAGTATTCTAACACTACTATTACCAGTTATTCTCAATTAGTCTTTCCTTTGGTTTTGGAAGGTTCTTGTTGCTGCTTAGGGAATTCTTACCTAAAGATCAAAAGAAGTAGGACATGTCAAAACACACGTAAATTGCTGAAGTTATTTTTTTCCTCAAAGGAAAAGTTTACATACCTTTCATACCTTAGGAGTGACGAAGATAAGTTGGAAGGGATTTTTCTTTACCTTGTTCTGAAAGACTTATTCTCTTAGAAAATTTTAAATCTGACCTCCAGATCTGTATTTGGTCTTCAGAGAATGGCACTGAGTATTTAGTAGCAGAAACATGGCTTTTCAGATGAACATGCTATATCCTCAGTTACCAGAACACCTGCCAAGTACAAGTACACATCATCAAGTATAAGAATGGATTTGTACGTTTCAAGAATTTCTTCAGTTTTGAAACCACATTTGGAGCAGAACCCCTGTGCTAGTCCACTTGCAGAGTCTGTTACTCATTTTTACTTGTCCCTGAAGAGCAACCTCTGCAACTACTCTTTAACAAACATTCTGTGGAAGGGAACAGGGGAGCATTTTTATCATAAGGCCATTTATAATCTTACTTGGGACTGAAGACTCCAGCAGCCTATACAGCACAGCACCAGAAGTTTGTACTTCAAACACACAAAAATACCCCTGCAAAAATACAGCTCTTACAGGAAAGAAGAGGGAGCTGTAGGTGACAAATGATGCTGTGCATTTAATTGCTATTTAAAACCTTAATTGTTCCTTTATAATTTCTAGATAACTGGTTTGAGTGTATTAGTAAGTCTTGCTATCGTAATATTTATAACTTACAAATAAATAGTGTACCTACATGGAACAAACATTGCAGTAAGTGGAACCTCTATGTAGTCTCCAGTGACTTCAGACTTCACTGAAGGATTTTCACTTTTAATACAATAATATCAAGAATAGTACATTTCTACAAATTTCAGTACTGCTATCAGAAAGCTTAGAGTCTATCAAAGAAAGCTTAGAGTTTAGCTATCAGAAAGCTTTGAGTTTATCGAAGAAAATAAAATACAAAACATGCTAATTTAGAGACTTAATTTCAGTTTTGCTTTCATATTAATCTTATGCTGCTTCTATTTGCAGGTGCACATAAAACTAATAATTCAGATGTCCATTTTTCTCATTCATGCCTTTCATTTTTTAAAAGTATCAATTATATGGATGTTGTGATGGAAGAAAACAATAACAAAAAATAGAAGTTCCAATTTTTCATGTGGAAAGAAATGCAATTATCCATTTATACTTTGCTCTTTTTCATTATTTCCTGTACGTGTACATTGTACTTTGTACATCACAACTAAAAGCAGTTAGATGCATGAATAGAAAACATAAAGCACAGGATAAAAACAAGTCACTGGTTGAATGACATTTTATTTTCACATTCAGACAGCTGTACAGTTTCTATAAATAGATGTTGTACTATAATATTTACATATTTTCCTCACTCATTACTAGTGTATTCCATTCAAAATAGTAGATCCCTGACCAAGCCAAAACAGGATTATTTCCAGATTCATTTACTCAGAATCCTACGTTAAAACATACAATACATCAGTTTGCATCAAGAGCATTTTTCCAGGTATTTCACAAGTATTATTTTTCTCTAGACAGTCTCACCTTCCAGCATCCTGAGAGCTTTCCAGACAAGTGCAGCACAGTTCAATAACAAAAACAAGATGCAAAATTCATATTCAGTCTACTCAAAATAAGGAATGCGATGGATAGTATTAACTGAGGGAGTTTCATTACACATTAACACAATATTTGAGAGGTTCCTTGATATACAAAAGTATAGATTGAAAAAAAGTAATAGATTAAAAGTTTTGGAGACAGTAATCCTTTGAGCTTCTGAGCACATTCTGCATGTTACTATAGAAATGTCTTGTACAGTTACAAATCCAGAATTACACTGGTACATTACAAGAGCTTCTGCCAATAACACTTCCAAGTTATACATTTCCTTTTTCATTTTCTGGTCCCTGCGATTAACTGCTATCAACTACACTGCTGGGATGCCTACAAACATTATTCAAACTCCCATCCAATCTAAAATCCACACAATTTAAGGGATGTCGGGGGTTTTCATGATACGTTGCTTTCAAGTTTCCTTTCTTTTTTCCACTTCAGAAGCAGTCATCTCCACAGATGGACCGATTTAATAACCAAACTACAATTTTCATATGTGATATTTTAAGACTATAGTAGCTTAATTGATCATCTTTACCAAAAGGGCTTGAAGAACTATATATCAAGAACTCCAATGATGGTGGGTAAAAGTGAACAACACATAAGGCAAACAATAGAAAACATTACATTTAAACAACGTGCAGGACCAGACTGCTTTCACTGCACACAAGAGAATTGGAAAGCAGAAGTCAGCAGTTGTAAAGTGATAAGTCTGGAACAAGTACCACTAGAAACAAAAAACAACTGAACTTAAGCCATAGTAGTCATCTTAAGAAAAAAAAAAAAGGATTCCAAGGAATGGCCAGAGTAGGCCATTCACAGCTGGATGCTGTTGCTCAAAACTGTCTGATGAACAGCCCATACAAAAACTCCACTAAGGATGAATTCAGAAGGAGACTGAGCAATGAAGTCTTAGATTTTTCTATGGGGAAAGACTTGCAGGGTCATACATAAATAACCAAGTTCTCAGAGAAGACAGGAAAGTGAGCTCCAGTAACTGCAGTAAAAATGGAAATACTGCACGTCAGGGTGCCATAGGGTAGGTATTTCCCAATATCATGATCAACTGGAAACTGGTCGAGGTGGTTTGCTTTTGTTTTCTGCCTCTTTCCCACGAATGGCAGCCACATAAGAGAAGAGACACAGCACGGAGTAGCAGATCTCGTGAGCCTACAAGAAGTTTGAAAGGGAGATAACAAAATTCAGATGATTTAGCATTTTACAAAATCCACTGCATTTTTTGTATTTTGGTGCATGCCTTTCTTTGTGAAATGACTGCTCTGGCTATAAACAAGATCTGGATGAAGTGTCCATACTACTTACTAACTGAAATAGAGAAGATGAACCATATAACAAAAAACCTTTGAGATAAAAGTACATTTCACAGATCAAGTTATTCTTCTCCCTCTTTATGAAGTATGGTCAGCTTCCATGCAATTACCAGATGTATGCAACTGTACTTCAGAGAAAATAACTGAAAACAATTCATTTATGATGATTATCACTGGCAGCTATTTCCTCCCTATAAGATATATAAGCCTGATTAAATACATGTAAAAGTGCTAAGTACAATTATCAGCTGAATTCAAAAATTTTATCCAAAACTGAACTCGAAAACACAGCAATAATTCAACTGTATCGAAAGAATCAATACTTAGACCATTCTCTTGCACTTTTGTGAGGAGATGGGAACTTTTCATAAACTCAGCTAACAAGACCAGGAATTTGTTTCCTTTCCATCTGCTTTGTGAATTAGGGATTGTGTCCTGCACTGTCTTCAGTTTAATGCTTTCAATAGCATATTGTGCTGAAGATACAGATCCAAGCTAGCTGGATTGGTTTGATCTATTTAATGAAAGAGACCACACATTCTGTATTACCTGTAAGTTTCTCTAGTTACACTGAAACAAGAATCACCAAGTTTTCTGAGAGTTTTAACTAAGGGAAGACAACAAAAGAGCAGCCTGTTTTTCACTGTAGTGTTAGCGCTGCAAATCCTGCAATCTCAATGCAATTCTCTTCACCACATGATAATGTAAAGGTACATTCTCTAGAAAACTACCAGAAGGCATCACAGTTGACTCACCATTGGCGTCTTGTACTTGTGGCTCACCACTTCTTTAGTTTCAGGAACTAAAACCGGACGGGCAAGAGACAAAACAAAAAGTTCAAAAAAACGAGAGGAAAAAGGGAAAGAAACAGCACAATGTTCCCATAGGAAAGGAAAGGGATGCACACAGACAGCAGGTGCAGGAACAGGGCTCCTCACTACCCTCACTTCTAGGTTCTCTTTCTTTTCTTCATTTACATTATACATGTCCTTGACAATACTGATAATGAATTACTCAGGTTGGCAAAAATATTTTATTGTCTATGTCTGGAAAACCGTAATAGATATTTGATGGTTCTTAAGACACCCTGGCTTTTCTACTAGTAGTTATTCCTGCTAGGCAGCAAAATTAATGACAAAATGCGCTTAATGACTGCTATACTAAAACATAAAGCAGCAATTCCGTAGGACTTTTTAAGTACTTGATTCTCAAAGATATTATTCCCTAGATGTTTGAATCCTTCTCTGCTGAGAAACAAATCTCATAAGAACTGTTGGAAACTCTGGCAGTAAGTTAGTGAAATACAGGAAAAAAAGCAAACAAAAAAGATATTAAGGAGAAAATTTTTCTAAGCTGGAAGATTGTTTCACAGCCAGATTTTGAGAAATTCTAAAAATACTCTTTTCTTCTGTTGAGGACACGCATGCTCATTTTTAACTTGATACTGACAATGAAAACGTTCTTTGCTTTTGAACACATAGTCATAAAATAGAACATAGATTTCAATTCCATGTATTCCTAGAATATCAGGCTTGATTTGATTTCCTGAAGATTTTACGCAAAAAGAGGATTAGTGCACTGATTAAAAATTATCTAGAAAATATCACGTTGCTCCTTTGCATTGTCTCAAACTAACAGAAAGAAAGAACATAAGATAGCTAAAGGTAATTTGCCTTTTGCTTTCATTGTGGAATGCACAAAAAAGCAAGCTGTAACCATCCCCATTAGTATTTACTGCATCCAAACTGTGCATCTGACCTCACGCTTGGCCTACAGATATTGTTGTGAACAGATACCATGGGAAATCACTGGGAGAGAACAAAACCAACACTAAAAACATACAAATGGTAATTTTAAAATGCGTAATAACAAAACCAACTTTGAATACTTCCCTTCCAGAAAAGCTGAAATTTGCCATGGAATTTCTGTATCACAACAAAAAAAAAAATTTAGCAGCAGTATAGAAATTATTCAAAACCAAACCATACCAGATTCATAAGGGAAGGGTAAGTATTTTATTACACAGAATACTAGTGACAAAAAAGAAAGAGGCAGATGAATTCAATATGAGTAATTAGGAAAAGTCCACAACAAAACCTATCCATGCAGATGTCATCTTTTCAACTTATGATATGACACATCTAAACATTGGAGAGGGAGAAGGATCACGCTCTAAGGAGCCAAAAATAGGCAGTGCAGACTGGGTTTGAGATAACTCTCCAGAAACAAACCAGTGCCCACCAATTCTAGTATGTCATGGTACTGTCATTCCTGGAAAAAAAAATACTGAAAAGTTCAGAATTGGGTTTTAAAAATTAATGCAATATTTCTGGTTGATATTTCAATTCTGTTTTCTTGAAGAGATGAGCAACTGAAAAATGAGGGAAGTGCACACCCAGGCTACACTGCCCCAGCAATATCAGAGTTGGCAAGAGAAGGTGGTGTGCATCCAAGCTACCTTACCCGTTGGCACCAGATGTTCCAAATTAACTCCTTGTCACCAGGGGGTAAAGGTGGGAGTGAGGCTGTTGCACAGCCAAATAGGGTAGGATTTATACAGTTGTGTAAGTCTCACTGCCCACTGGATAACATACAACAGCTCATATACTCTTCAAAAAGCAGGAAGGGAAAGCTGTAAGGACCTTGTGCCATGAGACAAGGAGAGAAGGGAAGGTGTAAAGTCTTGTATCGTAAGAGAGGGAACAGCACAGTGCTTAGGTGCTCTCTCCTCACTCTGTAGTCAGTAAGTTGCCTTTTCTTTAAGTACAGTACTCCTTTACAGTCCTTTTAGTAGGGAAAATTCTCCTGAGAGGACTGAGTTAGGAAGAACAAAAAAAAACAGGTCTAGATTTATACCCACAGAAGTCAAAGCACTATCACTGTAAAACACAGAAAGCAAACAAAAGAACAACAAAAAAAAAACAACAAAAACCACCCCACCCAAGCCTCAAATTAAGAGATTAGAACAAGCACGTTTCTTCTAACATTAAGACTTATTCCTGATGCTGTTAAACCAAGCAGATGAAGAAAGTAAATTATTAAGCACCATTCTGCAGCCTTTGGTTCTGTGAATGAAAATACGGTACTACCATAGAACAAGTTCAGGGGACATCACTTTACCTGCTGGAGAATGAAGGTTTTCATAGCAGCCATGGTGAAGGGGCCACAAGTAAAGCACAAGTACACAGCAGTAACTCAAATTCCAGGGGGAAGAGCCTTACATTTTTTCACCTACTTCAAATCTCAATTTCCATTTTTGGGCAACATTCCTGAACTTCTGCTTGTACCCTGCTCTACAATTGCAACTTTCATGCTGATATCTAAACCTGGTTTACCAAACAGACCTTTAATTCCTGCTGTGTTATAGCTACAGTTGGAGCAATCACACTTGGCAGAATAAAATAAACTCTGCACTGAAATGCTTCTCAGCAGACTAGTGTACACATCTACTGCACTCAAACCTCCTAAGAGGAGGCACTACTTCAAGATATTCTCTGTACTGTGAATCTCATTGCAAGGCTCAAAATGTTTAACATAGCTCTGCAGCTTCATTTTTAAGAAGCCTCTGCAACTTGATGTTGATTCACTCTTAATAAATTTAATTTTTCCTCCACAGGACAGATTCACACAACTTCTCATACTTTAACAATTAGAAGAGCACATATGAGGTAGTCACTCATTTATGCACAAGAGGAGAGGTTAGCTTCTCTGCAACACCTTTTGCCCTTTTTTTTTTCCTTAATTAGCTGAACGGATAAATTATAAGCCTCACTTGTTACGTTTAAACTGATTCTTGTTAGTACCTCTACTTTGAGAAGAGGGTAGTTTTCACTTTATAAATGATTTCTCAGCTTTTCTTTCAGCGTCTAACTCACAATTTATTTTCTCTTCCAAAAATTACATTTCCTTAAGTTTCTTATCACAGTTCTAGATTTTCCTTGATTACAAATATTTTCCGTAAAACAAGAACAAAACATTTCCTTACAGTTATAATTTAGGGGCAAAAAGCTGTACCACAGAATCATTAACAGAAGTTGACTGGAATAGTTAAGTCAAATGTTGTCTGTCATCTTGTGCAATCTAAATAAATGATTAAGAAAACACTTTGAGTTGAGAGTCTCCAAAAAAGGACCCAAATATAACTTCTGATCCAATTATTTTTCTCAGGAAACTGCAGCCATGGTTTGAGCTAATTTTATGGCTTCTGAACTCTAATATTTGTAAAGCCTATCCATACGTTTCACAACTTCAAGCAATTTCTATCAGAAGTAAAATGAATTATGCCCTTCAGGGTGAAAACATATTAAAAGAATATGCAACCACACAATGCAGACATCTTTTGATCACTTAAACTATTTTTTTTTTTATAGTGGTTAAATACAATGATCTGATCACTTGAGCTACATACAACATTTTCAGGAAGGGAGAAAAAATTTCACAACTTGCCATCCCAAATTTCTGGGAGATTCATTTACAGTGAACAACGAGCAACCAATTGTCAGAAAGGTTATACCACTTCAATATCTTATAATTTTCTATCACCAGAAGGAGACAATATATTACTAATGATGAAGACATTAATATTAGCACTCTCCTTAAATTTCTTTTAAGTTATCAGAGAGAATCCATCAGTCAGAATCTTCTATTCACAGCACTAGAGAACAGTGAAGGGAGCTGTTAAATTTTGTTTAGCAGCTAAAGGATGCTGATCTAGCAAGTAAGCAACGTTGTAAATTTTATCTTTTTAGTAAAACTTTGAGACCTACACTTAAGACCCACACAGATAGGTGGAAGAATAAAACAATACAGATATGAGGACTATGTTAAGAGAAGTATATGTATCACTATTGAGCCACATCTAAAGCCATTCATTTTTTTCATATACTAGTATAATCTGACTAACATTGAATAGAAACCCAGAACTTAACCAAATTAGACTATGGGCAGATTATATGTAATAGCAATGAATAGCCTAAATGGCACAAATTCTCCATTTTCCTTAACTTTACTTTACTACAGTTTACCAGTTGTACTCTGAAACCAAAACCACAATCTTACAATCTACAGAAGAGTTGCTGCACAGAACAAAAATTAAACTCCATGTACAGTGGAGAATAAACATTTAGCAGAACTTTTCTGCAGTGAAAGCACAGCGTGTTGAGAAAGATAAATTGCAAGTCCTGCTTTAAAAAAAAAAAAATGTCAGAAGAAAAAGGAACATACCAAAGAAGATTCCTATGCACTTCCAAGATTACCGGATGTTCTGTCTGCTTCATGAAGCTCAGAACACCTGATTTTTCTATTACAGGAAGAGCATCTAGGCCACAAGTCTCACTATGATGGAAGTGCATGTGCAAATTTTTATGTTAAGTTCTCATCTCTCTGTTAGGTAACTTCTTAGTGGAATCTACATTTCCCTTCCATCTTTGAAACTGCAGTGCAATTCTGAATCTAGAGTCTGGAAATTTGAGTTACTGCCATGTGAATACAGACCTAATATCAAAATAATGTAATTACCAAATTCCTCCAGGACAAAGACTCCTCGCACTGTATTGCACTTTTTAATGTGATTCAGCTCTATGAAAACCTACAAAAACAGGAGCAAAAATAACACAAAATTAGTAAGTTTTTCTCTTAAAATCTAAAAACCAAAATAAAACAAAAACATCACCACAGCAGATACAACCTGAAGTGTTTAAGCATACACTACCAGTTCATTTACAGTTTAATATATAAATAAAGGGTGAAATAAATATTCAGAAGACAAACTGGCCACAATGCTAGAAATCAACAAATAACTTAAAAGTGCTAAGAAGCGAAGACAGCAGAAGATGAAGTACCTTCCGCTCCTTGCAGGAGGAGAAAGCATGGAAGAGAAACGAAGGAGTTAGTAACTCTGACATATCCAACATTGCTACCCCTTCAGGCACTCAAATGAGTTATTGCAAAAAGAATATCAACACACCTGAAATACAACAGAAGAGGGGGACAAGAAAAAAGCTGACTCCCAAATTTGCCACGATTTGTAGCCTCTGATCCATCCCAGTTTCTGCCCCTCCATGCGTCCTCCTCCAGCACAGAGGGCAGGTAAGGGACACTACACTTCCCCCATCCTGACACTGACTCTTCTAACTGACCCAGCAGTCGTATTTAATTCAATGACAAACTACTAGTCGTCTTCTTCTCTGATATTCTTGCATGATTTAACTTTGTATTCCTGCTTATGATATATAACCTGCATACTTACTGTCTCCTGTCAGTACCAGTTTTCTGCTTTAAGCAGCATGGGAGCATTTGGGACCCTTCTCTATTGTTTGCTCGCTTCACGCATGGCCATTGTCAGCTGGGCAGTCGCATAGAAGACAAACCTTTTAACTCATTTTCACAAACACAAACCCCAAAAGACAAAATAACTGAACTACACAATGAGGTTTTTCAGTCTAAATGACAAGCCTAAATGTCAAGATTGCATAAATATACAAGTTCTCTGAGCATATTAAGTTTGTTCAATAGCCAATATATTTCAAGATATAAAACAGTCCCTTTGCATATGTACAGCTCCACAATGATCAGTCAATACACAAACATAAGAACTATAGAAAGTACCATAAATAAATTCCACACAGTAGTGTCTAATATGCTTCCATTTCTAGGCAGGAGAAACACCAAGAGTAACATCACCCTAACAGTCACAGTAAGTCTATTTCCAGTACCTTAGAGATGCACTTGCAGTACTGTATCACAAGAGTCTGGATCCATAGTTTCAGTTCCTATGTACTTTTGGCAGCATGACCTTAGGATCTTACATGTGCAACCCTTCCGAATTCAGTACTAGAAAAAGTCATACAGCCCTAGATGTTATGCTACCCCAAAAAAAGCAAAGAGAATCACAATCACCTTTTTCTTCTTCAAGAAATCGGCTTTTATGTATCAACAGAGGTCAGTAAATGTGACCACAAGTCAGGCTGATCTTCTAGTCTGTGCTTTTTTGTTGTTGTTGTTTTTTTAACCAGAGAACTAACAAATAGTCACAAGATATTTTTTGATCAGCATCAAAAACTAAACTTCCAGTTACCTAAACAAAAAATCTGAAGCTTGCATCTGCTTACATTCAGGCACTCAGGAAAGGAGAACTAATCACATCTTTCTTTGTATGTTTTCTCCCACATTTCATTGATTAAAAATATTTTATTTTTTGAGGAATAGCAACAGACAAAGCCAGACAATATCAGAACCCTCTATTGTACTCAGTTTCCTCTTTCTGTAATACCCTCTGTGAAAAGTTTTTGCTTGTAGTCTAAACCACAACATTTAAAAATTGAATAGAAAGGCCTGTTTTGTCCAGTAGACCTGACTATTTCTGATCATTATGTTCTGTGTATAATACAGAATGCTGTGTTTCCACAAGTCAGGATCTATTTGAGAATTTGTCAAAATTATAGTTAAGTTACCGATTTTCATAACACAAGAGTTGAAAGACAGCCTCTCACTACACTGATTAAGGGACAGAGATGTTCTCCTCTCAGTCAGCAAACACACAAATGTGTAAAGGAAATACGAGCTACTCACCCTAGGGAAACACCTTCTTCAAGATAGGGCATTCACTGTGGATCCTACTGTAAGTGGGCACATGTCTGCTGCACTGTATTAAACTTCCATTTATTTACCATGCAGATGAACTCTTAACTGGGACAGAGTTACTGAGACAAAATTTGTAGATTTCAATGTAGAAGTTTGTGAATAGCCTGCCAAAATCACAGGAACATTTTAACTCCTCCCTATTACAGCAGGACTTCCTCTGATCCTCTAGGCATGGACAAACTTGAACAGTTTTTCTTCTTGACCTTATGTGCACTGCCAGCATGGGGAGACAATTTGTGAACTATCACGCATCAGTAACAGGTTGGTCCACCATGTATCTAAGACATCTCCTGTGGAATGGGGCAGTGCCAAAGTACACACACTACAAGCTGAGAGTCTTCAAAAATAGTTTCAGGAAATGCAGCACCATTCTGATACTGAAGCAGTATGTTCAGCCTTATCAGGTAGGTCAGAAGAGAGACCTTTTAATTTTTTTTTTTTTGAAAAAAAACAGAGTAGAAATCAATTAAAACACAGGAAGACTGGTTATTTCTATGACTTCTAACCAATCACAGCAATAGAAATCTTTTATCCAAGTTGCCTTGTTGAAGAGAGAGGCAAATATGAAGCCTGAATGTGGGGTAAGAAAAGGAAGATGAAAAGGAAGCTGTGTCTGATGAAGTCCTACAGGCATTAGTTAGTTAATATCCCCATACAAACTGATTAAGAAATAGAGAAAGGCAGTTGTTAACAAAGTGAAACATCTGTAGAGTCCTGGGTTTACTTATGCTTTTATATACATATATATGTATATGTATGTATGTATGTATGTATTCTGAAATCAACTGCCTTAGGGAGGAATTCTTACCATTTACACGAAAAATGAAAAGAACAATTTATCTGAAACAGGAGACTTTTTATTAAGAAAGCAGTCTGTTTGATGAGTGTTGGAATAAGAATGCAAACATCCTTTAGCTCCACAGATGATGAAATTTGAAAAGGCTATTTTTGCATGGTGCCACTAGAAGGAGTGTTTTACATGACTGCAATTACGTGTTCTTTACAGACCCTCAAATGGAAGACTTCTGATGTCTGCCCAGACACTTTATTTCGAGATTGAAGAAAACTAGGATAGGTCTTAGGTCCACTTAGGTACTCAATTCCCTTGCCAGTTAACACTGTAAATCTAACAGACTCAGGAGTTCAACATATTGAATTAACAAGTGCATTTTCCAGAACTGTGCATCAATCTACTTCAAATAATAGGAACTCATTTGATTGCAGCTTCATAAGAAAGAGGAGGAAGAGGAAGAATAACTTTAAGGGTGGGGAAGACAGTTGGCATATTTCAAAGGTCTGACCTGGCATTTGCACAGATCATCCTACAGAAAAGACGTAACAGCTTTCATCACTGACAACAAATTAGAACACCATTCTCCAGGAAGAACATGATAAATGTACTACTCTACGAGTGCTGGTGGTAACACAGGACTCAGTGTCTGTGACTCCAAATTCAACAAGCAATGTTGGATTCACAGTCCTACAGTAAGAATCAGCACTAGGTTTCTCTAAGGTTTCTTTCAAAATGTTATTCCAGCCTTTCAGGAAAAAAAAAAAAAGTAGTCACATAGAACACATTTGAAATACTAACAGCAGGTCAGCTATAGTCATTCTAACCTGGTAATAAACACAAAGAAAACCCAAGGAGGCTCACAGTTCTCTAATCCTCACCCTGGCCCTTCATATTCTTTGAGTATGAACTCAAAGAGACACATGGTGCTGCTGCAACTTCAGGAGAAGTATTAAATAAAGATTCTGAGCATGTGTGTCTGAGATCCACATGAACTTCCAGTGGGATCTACACTTACGTTAATTCAAAGAATAAAGCTTATGTGAGGAGAAATATCTAATCAGGAGGAAAGGAAAAAAATTCCACAGAGGACTGACAGAAGCTTTTGGGTTTTTTTTACACACGCACACACGCACACACACACACACACACACACACACTCTCTCACTGTCTCTGTCTCTCTCTCTCTCACTTCTTCTCCTGAAAGTTGATTCTACTGTCTAGCACAGCATGCAGTTAATGTCATATGCAAAACAAAAAACACAAAGCAAAACAAAAATCAAAGGAAGCAACAGAAACAACATCCACAGAAAGGGAGAAATGGCAATTCTAGTTGTGTTTCCTCTATGCCCACAAAGTTTAGATGGAAAAGAGTCAGTAATTTATTCTCATTTTTATGAATTACAGCAAGAGTCACTTTATCATTCTATTTTCATACTGAATTCTACAGACAATTCTTCGTTTTTTAAAAGAAGACAGAATACATATGGTGCAGAAAGTTGCCCTTTGCACTTGCAAAATTCAAACACTATCTATAATGCTGACAGTTTATGCCACATTTTCACAATGTGGTGCTTTATGGCAGTATAGATTACAAGTGATCAATTCTTTTCATCCCTTAATATCATGTTTACCACTTATTTTGCATTTAGACAATTCTGACCACAAGCAACCAGAAACTGAAACCTCCACTAAACTTTTGTTTTTTTTTCTTCAGCTCATTATAGCTGTCATGAGGATCTCATTTCAGTGTATTTTTACATATATAAATAGATATATTTATTTGTGCATGCATTTTTCATCCCCCATTGCACTACCCCTTTGTTCACAATACCTTTGGGAAGAGGAAACACAGATGATGCAGGTAAGCTGCAAAAAGCTTCATGCTCACATTGTCATCTTATAGATTTCCCTCATACCTGACTGTGCATAAATTTCAGGTTAATTCCTTCCAGTGTCACCTGGAGAAGTCCTCCTTCGCCAGTTTTCATATCCTGCACAGGAAACTCACCACCCAACTCAGGGCCTGTGATATGTTAAAGGAAAAAAAAAAAAGGGGAGGGTGAAGAGAATAAACAGAAATAAAAGCAGTCAATCCAGTCATATGATCAAGGTAAATGCATAACAAGAAAAACAAATTTTAATTTGATGCACATAGCGTTTCAGTAGAATTTCCCAAACGACAGTCATCAGAACACCAGTGGATCTTTGAGTATCAAAAAATTTCAGCCTTGTTACATGCAAAGGACACCTGTGGTCAGCTCAGCCTATATTTCTTGTGTTTCAGATTGCTGGGGGGGTTCTGTTTATTTTTATTAAATG